ACCAGCCCAGGAACAGGTCACCCCCAGAATCAACTTTCCAACCCACTCCTGGCCTCAGACCCGGGGCCCCTTCCAGGGAACATATTCCCTTTAAAGGGCTCTTGTCAGGAGGAAGCCAACAAAGGAGGCTTTAAAAGCCCAGTTAACCCCGAGGACAACGGACTGCACAAAGGAGCCAATCAAGTCTGGAACTACAACTTCCGGCATGCTTTGCCGCATGGCCCAGTGGGAGTTGTAGTCCTCACCGACTCGCATCCCGAGTGGCTAAGGAATGGCACGGGCAGGATCTACCCCGTCCTGTCGTATCTGGAGTCTGTCTCCTCTGGAGAATCCTTGAAAGACCGTAGCGTCGTATTTAACTTGTTTAACAGAAGAGGAAACACAGGCCGCTCTCATGCCGGGTCACAAAGGCACAGAGCGCGAGGCGCTTCTCCCGCACTTCTCCCCGCCCCCCGCATCCGCGATGGTGCGGCCCGATAGGGCCCATTGTGCGCAGGGAGAGCCGACGTTCAGCTCGGGCTTTTCGCCGGCGCTGAGGGGGCGTGTCCAGATTCCACGGTCCCGTCCTCCCCCGCTCCGCGTTGGTGAGGCCCGACCAGCCCATTGCGCACGCCAAGCGGGGACTTCGTCGAGGGGGCGTGTCCGGACGCCCCGCCCAGGTCTTCCCCGTAGCCGCGATGGTACGGCCCGACGGGCCCATCGCCTGCAGCGAGGCGGGGCGTGACATTCAGCTCGGGCGCGCGGCAGCCGCGAGCCCAGGAGGGAAGCGGTCCCAGGCGCCCCGCCCCTACCCCCCCTGTCCGCGATGGTGCGGCCCGACAAGCCCATCGCGAGCTCTAGGGAGGGGGAGGCGACGAGCAGGGTCCACTGCGGGCGCAGGGGGAGGGCCGCGGCCGGCGGCTTCCGAGCCGCAGCCTGAGCGGGACCGGGCTTCTCCGGGAGCAACGCGCCGCCGCCTAGTGGGGGTGGAGCCCAGCCGTGGCCCCAGGTAACGCCCGGGCGCGGGCCGCTGAGGACGCGGCGGGAGGTGCGGGCGCTTCGGTGAGGCCGCGCCGGCCCTAGTCGCCGCTGCGGCCGGTCCGCTCGGTCCAAGTGCTAGGGTGCCCGGTTGGACGAGTTTCTGCGAGCTCTGCGCTCGGCTGGTGGGGCTCCAGCGAGGATCCCGTGTCCTGTGGCCCCGTGTGGGTCCCTAACATGTGAATTCACCCTTTGGCAGCCAGAGTGGCTGGAGGTTCAGGAAACAGCACTAACCCGGGGCCGTCACTGCATTTGGGATGTCTGAAACCCGAGGGGTCGAGAGTCGGTTTGCATCTTGCCCAGTCGCAAAGCGTTTTCTGTCTGCGCCCCGCTAGACTTGAGTGAAGCCGGGGACAGAGAGGAAGGGAATGGGGGGGGGGACGTGAAATTAAGGAAGTGGGGTATTCGTCCTTTGAGGCACTGCACTCCGGTAGCCCCGCGTTTTCCTCTCAGTGGTGTAATGCTCTCCTGTCCGACTGCAGACTGGGCGATTCCAGTGGTGAGGTGCGTGCAGGGAGGGGGGAGTGAGGAGAAAGCCCCCAGCATGCACCCAAGGCTCACACACCCCACTGCAGACACACACCGCCAGCTGCGTACCCACTGAGATCCGCCTAGGGATGTCGGGACAGGTCCTCTCTTCCGGTGTTAACCTCTGGACAAACAGCCTCAGGGAGGTTAGGGAAGCCCTCAAGGTCACAGGGCCCCTGAGGACCAGAGCAGCCTGCATCCAACCTTCGGTGGAGTCCTGCCTTCTTTCCATTCCGTAGGTGAGCAGTGCCTCAGTCAGAGCTGCCTTCACTGACCCCGTTTAGGACGAGAGCCTAAAGTGAAGACAGCTCACCCAGTGTCTCTGAGCTGGACCAGAGTGGTGCTCTCATGAGCACAAGACCCAGAACACATCTGCAGGGACCCACACTCTCTGCTCCCTGCCCATCTGCACAAATGATCGGTTATTTGGAGAGGCAAGGCTTGGGGTTCACCCTTGTCCAAAGCAGAGAGGATGTGCAATGGGGCCTGTCACCTCTCCCTGGTGTAGTAGGCTCCGGGCTCTAGCCTGATGCTTGGTGGTATTTTGAGAGGTCTGAGCGGACTGAGGTGAGCTGTGTGTCCCAAGGTTTCCTTAGTTTTGGGAAGGTTGTTGTGTCCTGCCTCTACCGAGGAAGATTTGACAGTAGGTGGGAACCCTGGCTGGGCAAGGCCCGGTCAGGAAAGACCTTCCTGCTTCAGCCCACCAGTGTCCTGAGGAGGAAGCTGGGGTGCAGCAGCAAGGGCTTTGCCCTGGAACCCTGCTGTGCTGCCGAGCCCTCACCTGCTACCTCAAGCCACTTGCTAGGCCCTGAGCCTGTCTGTGGTCTCCTTTCACCCCAGAAGCATGAGGAAGTCTCAGGGATGTGTGCGGACCGTCTTTCGCCTCAGTTGCCTCTTCTGCGATGTGGGGCAAACACTGACATCCACCTCGTAGCCCACTGTGAGACGATCAGGGTGGGCCCCCGAGGACTGTGTACAGAGCCTCGTAGCGCTTGCTGAAGCTGAGGCAGCTTACTGCAATGCACTGGGCCACCCTTCTGGGCTCTGTGGTGAGGGCAGTTACTTCCTCTCTGTGAGAGTAAACAGTACCCTGGCTACTGGGGGTAGGCTGTCATAAGAGGCGCACAATAGGTATGAGGGCCACACCCCGCAGGGGCTGAGCTGTGATGAGGGAGAGGCACACAGAGGACCACACCGGGATCTTGAAGCATTGGGTTTTGAAGAACAGTCCAGATTGCTGGCTTTTGTTGAAAATTTAGGAAACTTGGTAAAATTCTCCTTCCTTCTGCTCAGTTTTGCTTGTGGCCAGGAACGATCTTCAGGTTAGGAGGTGGTTTTGGCATCTGTCCCCGGGGAGAGAGTGACTGCGCCTCCAGGACCAGGCCCAGACTGAGTGTGGGGAAAGGGATTGCTTGGCCAAGTACGGACAACCCATCCTATTTTTGGGCATTTGTGGCCCAATGGGAGCCAGGTCCCAGATGAGTCTGGACCCTGCAGAACTGCAGGATGGCCACATGGAGATAGCTCCACCCACAGCATGAGCGTGGTTCTGCTGGGTCTGGGAAGTCAGGACAAACCTAACAGGCTAGGAAAGGCACCAAGGAGCTGTCTGGCTGTGTCTAGAACTTGACAGAGTCTGCCAGACGTGGGGAGGTGATGTTGACGACACATTAGGCAGAGAAAATGATACATGGGCCAGACTTGGGCTTAAAAGCCCTTAACTGGATTGTGAATGGAAGTAGGTAGGGGTTTGTGTGTGTGTGTGTGTGTGTGTGTGTGTGTGTGTGTGTGTGTGTGTGTGTGTGTGTGCTGATGTGTGAAGGCATGAGTTCAACCCAGGATGTCATTCCTTAGTCACTGTCCATCCTTTTGGAAGACAGTGCTTGGAGCTAACCACCTACTCATGGCTGGCCAGCAAGCCCCAGGGATCCACCTGTCTCCGTGTTCTTTTTATATGTGTTGTGGGGATTGAACTCAGGTCCTCAAACTTGTCAGGCAGGCCCTAACTACCTTTGTAAGTCTCTGGAGGTTGGTTTTCTGAGGGAAGAAAGCAGTCATGTCCGCTTGGGCAAGTCACCTCACTTCTGTGGCCATCAGGCCCTCAGTCATGCATTGAGCGGAGCTGGTCCTGTGCTGCCACATCCCTTGTAGAAGCTGGGTTTAGTGCCCTAAAATGATGAAGCCCTTCAGCCAGCCAGAAGCAGATTGTTGAGTGAGGCAGGGACTGTGACAGGGTTTTGTGTGATTAAGTGACAAAGTCGGCTCAGCCCCGTGAGAGGAGGTGGGAGTGGGGCGTTGGAAAGCAGGGGAGGAACTGATTTGTAGAAAAGGGAAGGCGCCGTCAGCAGGAGGGGTAAAAGGCCGATAGGGTGAAGTTACTAAGTGCACCTCCAAGGCCAGGGCACACTATGTGGCAGTAAGGAGCCACTGCAGGCCCCTCCTGTGGAAGAAGCAGGCAGGAGTGCAGATGTAGGCATCTTGGAACATGGGCAGGATTTTCTAGTTGCTTGTGACTGATGAAGATAAGGGAGAATTGATAAGGAGCAAACAGCATCCTTGTGTGTGTCCACATCTAAGTTCCCACACATCTAGGTGGAGTGGATTCCAGGGTGCATCTATGACACTGCGTCATGGACTTGATCGCCTGTTGCCTAGAGAACTGCAAATTGCCCCCAGGCTCCTCCCTGTCATCCTGTTGCTAACTGTCCATCCAGTTGTCTAAAGGACATTCTGAGCCAAAGATTGTTCCCCAGTTTCCTTCTGGATTCTTTCTACTGGCTACTTTTCCTAAGGGAATGAAAGTTTTAATGCTTAAAAAATTGGATGTATAAAGGACCAGAGCGGTAGCTAAGCAGTTAAGAGCACTTGCTGCTCTTCCAGAGGACCAGGGTTCAATTCCCAGCACCTACACCAATTGACTCACAACTACCTATAACTCCAATTCCAAGAGGTCCAATGACCTCTTCTGGACTCCACAGGCAGTGTCTGTGCAGGGTGCATAAACATATGCTCAGGCATACAAATAAAATCTTTTAAAAACAGGCCTAAGTTACCCCACCCAAAAAAAAGCCAAGCATTAGTGGCACATGACTTTAATCCCAGCACTTGGAAGGCAGAGGCAAGCAGATTTCTATGAGTTCAAGCCAGCCTGGTCTACAGAGTGAGTTCTAGGACAGCCAGGGCTGTTACCGACCCCCCCAAAAAAGACCTAAGATATATTCTTTTATCATTTTCAGCAAATTTTTCAGTAGGTTGTACTGTCTAGAATTTGTATTTTGAGACATAATTTCTCAGTGTAGCCCTGGCTATCCTGGAACTCAATCCGTAGACCAGGCTGGCCTCTAACCGCCTCTGCCTCCCAAGTGCTGGGAATAAAGGCATGCACCACCACTGATCTGGCTCTGTCTAGAATCTTTTAAAGCAAATATAGTTACAAAAATTTGAAAATCTAAGCCAGGATTAGTGGTGTATGCCTGTAATTACAGCACTGGGGAGACAGAGGCGAGAGGCTCAGGAATTTGAAGGTAGGCTGAGATATAAGAGGCTGTCTGAAAACTAATAACTAATAATAAATAAATGCAAAGAAAATTAAAATCTGCCCTCCTGAACAGGATAATTCCTGTATCCTTTCAGAAATACTACATGCACATACAGTATCCAGTTGAAATTGATAATATTGTTATATCTTGCTCAGCAAATTGATTTCATTTTTTTAAATATTTTGAGATTACGGGATATATCCACTAAGTACAGAGTGTACTCGACCCTGTATCCTGCCACACAGATGTAACTAATGTTGCCATTTTGTACTGACATCTTGTTCTGGGTTGGTGGGCGTTGGAGGAGTCCAGTTACTCCAGGTCATCCGAGTAGACACAAGAGCTTTAGGTAACTCTGATGTTCTGCTTATACTATTGGTGCAGCTCAGCTTCATCTTGGTTCACATCTCTGTTCTCTCTCGCTCGCTTCAGCTGTTAAGTGGGTGTGTGACACTTTCGGTGTCTTCTGAAGACAAGGTCTTAGTAGCTTCGGCTGTCCGGGAACTCGCTGTGTAGACCAGGCTGGCCTTGAACTGACAGATCCGCCAGTCCTACTTGCTAGACTTCGGGTGTTGGGAGGCGTAGGAAACTAGCGTGTAGAAACTTCCTGGGCCTGGTAGAGCCCCCCTCTTCCGACACCAGCTGACCCAGAGCCGCCCCACATCACCCCCCAGCCGGGGGCGGGGTGGCGGACTGTTTCTGTGACGTCACACGCGCAGGACCAATCCCCCTGCCCCGGAGACGTTAGGTCGTTTGCATGGGTCGTCAGTCATTGGTCTGTTGGGCCGTCGGGTGTCGCAGCTTTTTAAAGGCGCCGTGTAACGGAACCGAAGGCGGGAGAGCCGAGAGGCGCGGTGGGCTATGAGGTCATCGCCGATCCGCAGGGTTTGGGAGTAGTGACGTCACCTCCGGGGAGCGCGCCGGCCGGGGCCGAGGGCGGTCCTGTCACCTCGGCTGCGCGCCGCTCACAGGCCGCGGCCCCGAGAAGGTAACCCTGGCGTCTTAGTGCGCGCCGTGGCCCCGCGCTCGCGGCCGCCCCGTCCTCCGCCCGCGACCTGGCTGTGGGGGCTTCCAAGTGAGAGGTGGGGGCGAGGAGCCTTTTTTAACCCGGCTCGCAAGATGGCGACCCGTTAGTCACGTGCCGCCCGCAGACGCGATTGGCCGGCGCGGCGTTGCGGGGCGGGGCCGCCGGGGCGGGCGCCGGCTCCTGCGGCTGCTGTTTGCTAGAGCGTCCTGGCGCGCCCCCGCGAGCTGCCTCCCGCGCTGCGCGTCCCCGCCGCGCCGAATGTTGTGAATCAAACGTGGGGCTGGTTCCATCCGGCCGCCGCGGACAGTTCTTAAAGGGCCAGCCCGCCGGATCACACAGCTGCGTCCTGCGCCGCCCTCCTCTCGGGTCCCGGCCGGGGAGGCGGAAGACGGCAGAGCAGGCTCGGGAAGGAGCCGGCGCTCCAGCATCCGCACCCCGCACCGCGAACAAAGGAGCCCGCGTGTTGTCGGACAGCTGCCGGTGAGTCGGGCCAGGCCCCTAACTTCAGACCCGCACCCCGGAACTGCGGGTCCCTCGGGACTCGCTGTGGGTTGCCGGCTTCGTGGGCGTCGATCCTGGGTCGCCGGGGTAGGGGCGACGGCGGTGAGGTCCCCGGGCCAGGTGCTGCCTAGACTCGGCCTGGCCACCCCTCTGCGGAGCTGAGCGCTGCGGTGGAGGGGAAGGAGCCACCCCCTCCCCCTGCAGCCGCCACTTCCTTTGTTGTTGCTTTTGTCTCACGCCGAGCACATGGTCCGGGATCCTCGGTTCTTAAAGTCACAGCGCTCTAGCCCTTGCGCTGCTGCCTGGCCTCGTCCCTCAGTATTCCTCCGAGTGCGGCACTACAGAGTAAGGGGGGTCAGCGGAGTCCCTCCTGGGACAGGTGTGCGAGCTTGGGCCCTGTCCCCAGGGAGGTGGGGTGGCTTTGGAAGATTGCTGGAACCCCACTGCCGGCGTGTGGCCTGCTTTAAGGAGGAGCCTGGTCCTCGGGGACTTTTTTCCTCCCTCCCAACTAATATGAGCACCTGATTTCTGGTATCTGACTTTTTAGGGGCGCCCTGGGGAGATTTCAATCCCGGTTTTAATTTGTTGCAACTGAGGCTTGGCGAAAACTAAAGGATTTCATTAACTAAGGTCACCCAGGGAGTCTAAGCTGGCCAAGGTCCCACCCTCAACTGCCTCTGCTGTCTTAACTGCTAGTTGGGAAGCTCCCGTTTAGAGTGGGAGTTGGGCGCAAGTAGGGAGGGGGGAGGTTATCTTCCCGCCTAAGCTTGCTCTCGTCTCGGAGTCGAACTTTGCTGGTCTGCTGGAAGGGAATGAACGCCGATTTTTGCAAACAGGCTCTATGCCCAGGTCAGATATGTGCTTGGGACACTGTACCTGGCCGACAGGATTGTGGACTCATGGGGGCAGGATCAGACTTAGGGGAGTTTACACAAACTTCTTAGAGAGAACAGTGGAGGCGTGGAAAAGTAGTGTTGCTGGTTGACCCTGCTTGTGTCAATGGGTCCAGCTCAGTCTGTAGCTCGTGTCCAGGACAGCTGCTCATTTGTAGTAAAAGAGACTCAACATGTCCTGTGTGGCCCCAGAAGGAGTCTGTGGTTTTTCCTCTGACCACTGTCATCTTGAGAGGACTGGGACTTGGGGAGTGTAGGGATCAGCCAGGACCAGTTCCGTTCCTGTGGTCTAGAGTATCTCCTCTGGGGGCTTCAGTAACTGAACTGGGTGTGTCCCCTCTTGACCACCTTCGTCCCTGGTAGGAGTTAGAGTCACCTTTCCCTGCTGGGGTGGACAGCTGGGGCAGCGTGCTCCTAGTCCTTCAGAAGCTGCAGTCGTCCCTGGTGTCTGCCAGGGTGGACCTGCAGGCTGTCTGACTTCTGGTAACCATTGTTCACACTACAGCTGGCATTCCCTGTGAGGACCGAGTCTTCTGTTACCTTTAGAGTGGCCCTTACTGGTTCCCTGGGAGATCCTCCTTAGGGTGTTCCTATTTTTACAGTAGAAGAGTCTGTTGTTCAGGGACCAGAAGCCATGGGCCTAAGACCCACTGTGGCAAGAAATTGGGGGTGATGCTTTTGTCATTGGCACCATCCCCCCGTTAAATTCCTTCTGTCTCTTGGTTTGGGGTGGGCTGGGCTTCTTGTGGGTATTTTGAGGGGTGGGTTGCTCCTTGCCTGTGTGTGGGACTAGCATGGAGTCAGGGAGTGAGGAGCTGTGTGTCAGGGCATCTGCAGTTGGCCCCAGCCAGGGCTCACAAAGCCAGTCATCAGAAGACTGGTTTTCTGACTGAGGAGAACAAGTGCCCCCTCCCTATTTAGCTTGGGTCAGAGACTAGGATTTGTGGGGAGTAATTTATAATCTCCCAATCTTGACTCACTGGCAACACCCTGTCATCATTGCCAGACTGTGCTTTTACCTCCTGACGGGCTATCTTCAGTGAATCCACCCCTGCTGAGTGCCTGAACGCTTAAGTAACAGAAGTGAATTCCAGCTGGTAACACTCCAGGCCTGTGGCCTTGGCCAGGTACCCCTTGGATAATGTGGAGAAGGCACTCCCCTGTTCAGACTTGGAGAGTCCTGGGTATAGGGAATGGCTCTTCTGATGTTAGCTGGGATGACTGAGGCGCTTAGTTGGCATTACTGCCTTGCTCTGTCCGCAGGTGGCAACGTTTGGAACTGGACATGAGGCTTGCATAGGTTTGCTGGTTGAGAAAGAGTGGAAAGGCCACCTTGTGGCAGTGATGGCAGGGAGATAGTGTCTCAGGGCCTGATGGGGTTCAGAGTGTCCCTTGCCAAGGCATCCTCCTGACTCCAAGTCTGTAGGTGAAAGCCTGGGGTTGGAGACCCTGGCCTGTTCCTGCTCATCCTTCTCAGACTCATCCCTTTTCAAAAGACTCTGCTTCCCACGTCAGGTCCCAGAGCAAGGGTAAGGCTTTGCAGGCCCAGCATGCTGCCAGTGACAGGCTTCTTTCCTGGGCCCCATGAAGCCTTGAAGTGGCCTTCACTGTCAGCAGCAGGGTGTAGAGACAGGCTCGAAGTTGCCCTGTTTCCTAGCTTCAACATGTATGTGGGACCTAGGGCAGGGAGCCTCTTCTGCCGAGCCTGCTAAGAGCTTTCCTTAGTTAATGGGTGGTATCACGGCTGAGTGTGCACCAGGTGATGGTGTCTGACCTTAGACCAGAAGTTTCCAAGGGTGGGAATGGGTCAGGCCGTCTTACCCAGTGCTTGAGAGTGAGTCCCAGGCCTCTTTTGAGTTCCTCTTCAGCTTCCACATAAAAGGAGAACCTGGAGCTCCCAAGAGCCCCATCTGCCTGGAGGCCAAGATGTAGACCCAGGCTTGAGGCAGAAACTTCCTCCAGCCTGAGCCTTGGTGCAACCAGCTTGCCCTGAAGCATGCTGGTGTGTTCTCTGAATTTGCTGTGTTCTAAGATTGGATCCCACTAAGTTTGACTTGTCAACACTAGACCCCAGGCTCCAGAGGAGGACCTGTTCAGATTTTATCAGTCTCCCCATTCCTAACTGTACAAACAACTGGGTCTTTGTATCCCTCTGTCTTCCTCTGCTTGCCTCCTAGGGTTGTGAGCCCCTGCCCAGCCCCTCTACCTCCCTGCCCCCCTGATGAGACCATGGGCTCTGGTGGTGACTAAGTGGCCACCCTCTGCCTCGGTGGGTCACTGGCGATTCGCTACAAGACCTAGCAGCAGTCCAGGCCAGCTCTGGGGAAGGTAGGAAGAAGTCTCCATGCCTAGTTCAAGGGCAGCCATCTTGGCTTGGGTTGGGGGCAAAAGGCTTGGCCCTAGGGCCTTGAGCTATCTTGGCTTCCTAGTATGGGTTATAACCCTGGCTTCCCTCCCTGCACTATAAATGAGTGTTGGGGCTCCTCTGTGTGGTACAGCCTTGGCCAGGGCGGGGGGCGGCCCTGGCCAGCCCACCCGCCCGGGATGAGCACTAACCCTCCCAGCAGCTGCTGCCCCGACCGTCACACCTCTCTGTAGAGGAGCACCGAGCCTCAGCTCCTGCCGGCAGGAGCCCACGAATGCTGCACCCAGTCGCCCAGCAGAGCCCGCTCATGGTTGATCTCCACGAACAGGTCTGCAGGACAGCTCCTAGCCCGCCCCCGCCCCCGCCCCTGCCCCATCAAACGGTCTAAGAAGCAAAGCTGATTGTATCTTGCACATTAGTCCCGTGATACAGGTGGGGAAACCGAGTCCCAGAGAAAGGAGGGTCTTCCCTGGGATCCCTACTAAAAAGGGTACATTAGGACACAAGTTCTGCCCAACAGGACTCCTGCTTTTGGTTTTTTGAGACACGGCTTCTCTGTGGCTTTGGGGCCTGTTCTGGAACTTGCTCTGTAGACCAGGCTGGCTTTGAACTCACAAAGATCTGCCTGTCTCTGCCTTCGGAGTGCAGGGACTAAAGGCGTGTGCAACCACCACCTTAGCTACCAACAGGACTTTTTTGTGTTTTGAGACAGGGCCTCACTATGTAACCCAGGTTAACCTGAAACTCCGCGTAGACCAGGCTGGCCTCATGTCCCAGAACCTGCCTGCCTCCTCTGCCTCCTGTGTGCTGGAATTAAAGGCAGGCACCACATTGCCCGGCCTCCCACAGGACTCTTTTCTCAGAAGGTTGTCCTTACAACCAGACTTCCTCCTACAGGTCCCTGGTGCTCTCTCCACAGGTGCACCAGGGACCTGTCCCTCTGTCCTACACAGTCACCACAGTGACCACCCAAGGGTTCCCCTTGCCTACAAGCCAGCACATCCCTGGCTGCAGTGCCCAGCAGCTCCCAGCATGCTCCGTGATGTTCAGTGGGCAGCACTACCCCCTCTGCTGCCTCCCTCCTCCGGTGAGTGAGTGCTGTCTTCCCCGCCCCGGTCCATGCCACCCAGTCCACCCCAGCAGGTATGAGCACGGGCACCCTTAGCAGCTGAGCTCAATGCCCATGCGGGCTGACTGTGTACTAACTTGGCCTTCTGGCTGTGACCCTTCTCGGCAGCATACACTTGTGAGTGCGTGTACACACTCCCACAGAGGAATGAGGCAGTTTAGAGGTCAGGGACTGTTCCGTGATAAAGTGCCTGTCCCGTACATTGGCAGAGTCACTGCAATGGAGGCTGTGGCGTGGCACCCTGCGTTGGCGGCCTAGGGCAAGGATGAACCCTTAGCTGGGTGGTGTTCTCTGGCCTCCGTGGCAATAGGCCCAGCTTCTTTGCGCTCTCTCCACAGCTGATCCAGGCGTGCACCATGCAGCAGCTCCCTGTGCCCTATCACACCTACCCTCACCTCATCTCCAGTGACCACTACATTCTTCACCCCCCGCCGCCGGCCCCCCCACCCCAACCTACCCACATGGCACCACTGGGGCAGTTTGTGTCACTGCAGACCCAGCACCCACGAATGGTGAGTGGGGAGCCGAGGGGGAAGGGGGGAGGGGGCAGTGGAGGGGGAGGAGCTCCGAGCGGGAGAGGCAAGGACTTCTCGGTGAGCAGCTGGCTGACCCATGCCTACCTCTTCAGTCCCTGCAGCGGCTGGACAATGACATGGACCTTCGCGGGGACCAGCACCCCTTAGGTAGCTTCACTTACTCTGCCTCTGCCACTGGCCCAGCCTTGTCACCCTCAATGCCCGTTCACTACCTGCCCCACGATCCGCTGCACCAGGAGCTGTCCTTTGGTGTGGTAAGTGGCACCCCTGTCCCCTGTCCCCGCAGCCAGGCTTAGGGCAGCGAGCAGACAGGCCTGACAACTGACTGCTACGCCTGCTTGTGTTTGCAGCCCTATTCCCATGTGATGCCACGAAGACTGAGCACACAGCGGTACCGTCTACAACAGCCGCTGCCGCCGCCTCCGCCCCCACCACCATCTTACTACCCAAGCTTCCTACCCTACTTCCTGTAAGTGCTAGCACAACCTCTTTAGAGCCATCAGGCCTTGTTTTCAGGGCCTCCCCAGCTCTGGTCGCCCACAGCAGCTTTCCTCTGGTGTGCTTGGACAACCCCGTAGCCTGCTGGGAAACGGCAGAGCTGTGTGCTTTGTTTGCACGCAGGGGTAGGTGGCGGGGTGCTTTGTCCCATCCCCCTCTGCTGACCTGTACTCTGGGGCTCCCTCCAGCTCAATGCTGCCAATGTCTCCGACCACCATGGGTCCCACCATCAGCCTGGGTCTGGACGTGGATGACGTCGAGATGGAGAACTATGAGGTCTGTGGTGCCTGTGCTGGGAGGTGGAGTCGGGAGGCCTCCAGCTCCAGTGCTGCTGACCTCCCTTGCCTGGCTCTAGGCCCTCCTGAACTTGGCTGAGCGGCTGGGAGATGCCAAGCCCCGAGGCCTCACCAAAGCAGACATAGAGCAGCTGCCGTCATACCGCTTTAACCCTGACAGCCATCAGTCTGAGCAGACTCTGTGAGTGTTGCACCAAGACCCCTGGGAGGGTTCTCAGCCGTCGGTGTGGGGTGACACTGTGTCCCTCTTCAGGTGCGTGGTCTGCTTCAGTGACTTTGAGGTGCGGCAGCTGCTCCGAGTCCTCCCCTGCAACCACGAGTTCCATGCCAAGTGTGTTGACAAGTGGTTGAAGGTAAGGTGGCCTAAGCCAACTCCCAGGGAGCCCCAGTGGGCAGGTGTGGAAGTTTATCCAGGTCAGATAAGAGAGAGGGAGGTCTGTCTGATACGTGGCTGTTCCTCCCAGGCCAACCGGACCTGTCCCATTTGCCGAGCCGATGCCTCCGAGGTGCCCAGGGAGGCTGAGTGAGGCTCCGCAGCCACCCACAAGAACCCTGCCCAAAGCTCTGGAAACGGGTGGGGGGGCGGGGAGTGGCCCAGGGAGAATTGTAAGGGAGGGGCCCGGGCCTGTCTCAGCATTCCCACCTGCAACTCCAGAGCTGGTGCCAGGGTCAGCCCTGGAGAAGCCCCTGCAATAAGCCCCTGCGTTTGCCAAGCTCCAAAGACTCCTTCCCCAAACTGCCTGCCTGCCCGCCTGCCCGCCCGCCCGCCCGCCATGGAGCTGCCTGAGTGTCCCCAACTCAGTCCGCCTCTTAGTTTGTCCTTGGGCCCTTCTTCCTGCTGGCTCTGGGAGGCAGGAGTCCATTCCCCAAGTGTGGTGGCTGGTATTGTTCCCACCCCCCAAAAATGGGCAAAGGAGTAGCCACCCTGGGACAGCTGGTCTCCAGTCCTGAAGTGAAGTGTTCCCTGCACGGGTGGTACTGCCAGGTCTGTGGGCAGAAAGCCTAAGTCCCAGGTCTGAGTCCTGTCTGATTCCAGACACTCGGGCTGTCGGTCCTGCCTCCACTGACCTGCAGTTGGGTCTGACTCCCCAGGACCCCCGCCCCCAGGCACAGGCACAGCATCCCAGCCAGGCTCTTTGAGCAAATGGAATGGGGGCGTCAAGCTGAACACACATTCTGCAGGAGCCAAGCCACGATCTGGGCATGTCCTTGTGTTCCTGGTGTCACTGTGCCCCTACACCAGTGACGATGTCAGGCCCATGCTCGATCTCCTCCCTTGTGTCGTTTTGCATGAATGTGAGGAACAGCCGTTTTTGTTTATTCATTTGGCCCAGAATTGCGTGTAGGGTGTGGATATTTAGAGGTGTTTAGTGGGGGTTTTTGGGTTTTGTTTTTGTTTTGCTTTTTGTTTTTTTCTGGTTTTTTGTTTTGTTTTGTTTCCCTATTTTGGTTTAATAGGAGTGGGGTGAGGACATAGGGACCAACCAGGACCAAATGCCCAGGGGGCAGAGAAGGGTCAGGTTGTGCGGCACCAGGCCTCCGTATGGGTGTGCGGCTGGGACTGCACGGGGCGGCTGGGAGTCAGGGCAGACGGGTCTGTGCTCAGCTGATAACTGCCATGCACTGCACTGCACATGTCCCTAGAGCCTACCGGGACCGCTTGCTTTTCAGGGCAATTAAACCCTCCAGCCAGGGCTGTCTCCCACCTGCCTGGTTGAGTCTCCTCCTGAGTCTCCCTGAGGACAGAGATCAGGGAGGGTGTGAACCTCCACCTGGGGGCCCCTCCCAGCCTGATCCCTGCCCTCCACGGTCTGGAGGAGGCTGAGTTCCCTACCCTCCTTTCAGGTCCTACTTCTTTCCTTTCCCCATCCGGGGCTGCTGCCCCAAGTGAACGAATTGCGTGTGGGGCCGGCACATCCTAGCAGGCAGCCATTGGCGCCTGCTGCCTCAGGGATGCTCCATCCACCCTCGTTCCCATGCAGCAGCCCTGGCTCCCTGCCCCCATCCCAGCCTGCCAGGGGGCCCATCGGCCTGGTCCCACCCCACAAGAACCCAAAGTCTTACTGTATATAACTCCAGGTGATGTTTCTATATTTATAGCAGTGTTGAAAAATCCACGTGTTTTACACAGAGAACCACCTTATCCTACCCTGGTCCTTCCTCACCCCGGCAAAAGGTTTTCAAGCCCTTGTGGTTCCTGGGGCAACGGAATTGGCTCATGGATTGTGTCGGCTGCAGTGACGATTCCAACAAGCAGCTATGGGAGAATATACCTTTTTTTGTTTTAATCATTTAAGAAAGATTTATCAAACAATTACTTAGGGTGTTTGTGATTTGCCGACCTTGCTGTAGATGCCATGTTACCAATGATTTCCTGTGGTGGGGGCTTGGCATTGTTTACTCTTTATTTACCAACTTCTGGCCTAGGCATGACAGTGGGCACCTTCCCCCAGCACTGCTGGGCCCAGCGCCTGTGTTCTGTTAGAAAGGTTTTTATATATATATACACACATATATATATAATTACACACATATATAAACACGTGATTTGGGGGCCCTGTTCCTTGCACATCTTACAGTTACCTCATTTTTCCCATGTATGTATTTGAGAAAATGCTAATATATAGAGAAAATGGTTCTTAAAGCTTAAATGTGTGGTTTTTTCCATCCCGTTGGACTCACATTGGTTTGTAGCATTTAACATAACTAGTATGTTGTATTATATATGTGTATACGGATTGAAATTTTTAACAGATTTGTACTTTTTTTAAAATGAAAGTTGCTAGTTCTGCTTGACCAAGTAGTGCAATCATTATTTTTTTTAATATTGTTGCTGATTTCAGAGGGATATTCACTAATAAATGTATGATGTATACAAGTGCTGCCCAAGCTGCCTCTGGTGTTCGTGTGTTCTTCCCGTGGGGTGGGTCACAGGAGACATGGCGTCCTGCTTTGCAGCCATGAAGTTCAGCACTGACCAGAAACTGCTGCCTCCTGTGAAGCTACAAGTGTCCATCTAACTAGTATGAGAAGAGACATTCTTTAGTGGTCCTGACTTGTAAATTCTTTGAGGATTTCTGAGGTGAATTCACATAGCCCATGCTGGCCTCAGATTGGCTGTGTGTCTGAGAATGAACTCCAAATCCTCCTGCTTCTATCTCCCAAGTGCTTGGCGTTTTGTTGTTTTTTTTTTTTTTTTTTTTTTTTACAGTCTTGCTGTCTGATCCAGGAAAAGTCATTGGACAGCTTTGGTTGTAGACCAAACCTGAGCAATTCAGTTCATTCAGTCTGTCAGCTCTTCAACAGGGTGGTTGGCCAGACCACAACCCCAGAGAGGCATGTGCACTCCTGGCCTTTGTCCTCTGCCCCGAAGGGGCTTCATTTCTCTCCATAGTGGTATTGGATGCAGGAGTAAGCATGCTGTCAGACAACATAGTCTGCAGGGCACTAGGGTGGCCCCCTGAGGCCTTGTAAGATGCCTCTACTCAGGTCCTCCTCATTTCCAAGTTGGAGAACAGGATCAGCTGAGGTGTTCCTGCAGTCTCCAGAAGTCCATTGGAAGTTGATACAGGATAAGAGCTCTGATAATCTAGTCAGTTCCCAATGCAGGTGACAGGAATCTGGACGGCATGGTTTAGCTAGACCTGTGCTGTTGATTCTTGGGGCTGTGTGTCCTGTGTTTGCTTTGGCTCCAGCTGCACACCCTGCAACACACTGGGATATGGTAGATTATGTGTTGGCAGCAGCTGCATCCCTGTGGTCTTAGCGCCGTGAGTATTGAAAGTGGAAGTTTGTAAGCTCAGGGCTTCAGAGAGCCCAAAGAAAAATCACAGGGTACCAAAACAATTTACCTCTCCACAAAAACGAGATAGAGTAACTTCTCTTTTTTGAAAGAGAAACTTCTTCAGGTTGGTAATGTCAGCAAGAAGCTCAGCAACTAAATCCCAGTTAACACAAGCCTGGGTTCTTCAAGAACCTGTCACTGCTGAGTAGCAGCAGGAAGTCCCAGGGAAGTGGACAAGAAGGGAACATCCTGGATTTGTAGCCCAGGTAATGGAAACCAGTGAAGAAAACCCAACTGAAAACTTCCTGACAGTGAATTCAGCAGGCCACAGGGTACAAGGTCAGCATAACTAAACTGAGTGGTGGTTTGTGCCTGTAGTTCCAGTCACTCTGGACAATGAGACAAAATGACTCCTTGAGTCCAGCAATTAGGGGGCAGAGTGGGCAAGATCAGGATACATAACCAAAATAGAGGAAGGGAGAGAAGGGGGGGGGGGGGTCTAGAAGCCAGCAATAAATACTTGAGAAAGGAAAGGGCATTGCATATATCCTAGGCCAGCCTCCAAGTTGCTAGACAATAGGTTGAGCTTGCACTTTGGTCCTTCTGCCTCCTGAGGGAGAACGGCAGGCATGGACTACCAAACATGGTGTGTGTAGTCCTTCTGCCTCCTGAGGGAGAACAGTAGGCATGGACCACCAAACATGGTCTGTGTAGTCCTGCCTCCTGAGCGAGAATGGTAGGCATGGACCACCAAACGTGGTCTGTGTAGTCCTGCCTCCTGAGGGAGAACGGTAAGCATGGACCACCAAACGTGGTCTGCGTAGTCCTTCTGCCTCCTGAGGGAGAACGGTAGACATGGACCACCAAACGTGGTCTGTGTAGTCCTTCTGCCTCCTGAGGGAGAACGGTAGGCATGGACCACCAAACATGGTCTGTGTAGTGCTTCCATCATGCTGGGCACTCAACTGAGCCAACACCCAACTTGGACACACGGAAATCTACTTTAAAAACAACACTATTCCTAACCAGTCAGAAATCTGGAGCTATAGAGATGGCTCAGCAGTTGAGTGTTCCTCTTACCAAAGGACTAAGTCAAGTGGTTCAAAACTGCCTATAATTCTAGCATCAAAGGATGCCCTGCCGCTGGCCTTCATAGGCATCCATACATGGCATACAGTCATGCAGACATTATACACACAATTTTAATCTTAAAGGAAAACTTTAAAAGCCGGGCATTGGTGGCGCACACCTTTAACTCCAGCACTCGGGAGGCAGAGGCAGGCGGATCTCTGTGAGTTCGAGGCCAGCCTGGTCTACAGAGCGAGTTCCAGGACAGCCTCCAAACAATACAGAGAAACCCTGTCTCGAAAAAAAAAACAAAACAAAAAAAAAGGAAAACTTTAAGACTTACATCCTGGGAACTGTAAGAACTGATGTGTAGACAGTATAGCTGCACACACCAATCGAATCCAAATAAATGGAAAGTTCTTGGAATCAAATCGTAGACTCCATAAAGTGCTGCTGTTCCTCAAATCCATCTGTTTAACAACTTAACCAAAAGTTCAGGAAATCTTTTGGCCTTTTCTGAAATAAATATGAAAATAACAGAAGACCTAGAGAACAGCTACAACAACTTTGCAAAACAAGAACAAAGTGGGAAGAGTCTGCCCGAAAGTAACACTCCGTACATGGCTGCATCTACCAGGACCGTGGGATTGGTCCAATAAGACGGCTCTACAGGTAAAACCTGATGACTGTGCTTTCATGGGGGAATGTCCTTCTGTATATGTTTCTCTTATTGGTTGATGAATAAAACCAGTAGCCAGGCAGCAAGTATAGGTGGGGCTGCCAGGAGAATTCTAGGGAGAGGAGGAGAGCTAAGCCGCAAGAAGATTCCACGTACCTACAGGGAAGACAGGATGTTCCGCATGCACTGGTCCTTCTCTGGTTAACGTAGATTAATAGTTATGGGTTAGTAAGAAGCCTGAGCTGGGGCTAGAAAGATAGCTCAGTGGTTAAGAACACTGGCTGCTCTTCCAGAGGACCCAGGTTCAATTCCCAGCACCCACATAGCAGCTCACCACTGTAACTCCAGTTTGATCTGACACCTTCACCCAATGCACATAATTTTTTTAAGAAGCCTAAGCCATCGGCCAAACAGTTTGCAATAACTATAAGCCTCTATGTTTATTTGGGTTTGAAGGGCGGCGGGACCAGGCGGGACAGAGACCTCTGTCAGCGCTGCTTGATCCTCGAGACTCACACAGTAGAAAGAGAACTGTGTCCTCTGACTTCCATTGGTGCACACCATATCTCACACACACACACACACACACACACACACACACACACACACACACACACACACACACAAAGGCAACATGATAGATTATTACAGATTATGAAAATAAAGAATTCAGAAGTTGGGGCTGGAGAGGTGGCTCAGTCTTGGAGTGCAGGCTGCTTTTACAGAGGATCCAGATTTGATGGCCAGCCAGCACCCACACAGGGACTCACTCTAGTCCAGGGGGGGTAGAATGCCCTCTTCTGCAGGGGCCAGATGTGCACATACGCAGCACACAGACATACCACAGTCCAAAGCCAAAAATGTCACCCTGACTGTCCTGTTACTATTAGAAAAGACTGGCCTCAAATTCAGAGATCCGCTTGTCTCTCTGCCTCTGGAGTACTGGGATTAAAGGCATGCGTGAGCCACCATGATAAGCTTAAAACTCAAAAAACAAAAAACAGGGTTGGTGGGAGGATGGGAGGAAGAGGGAACTGGGATTGGTATGTAAAAAGATTGTTTTGATTTAAATAAAAATTTATTTTAAAAAAACCCAAGAAGTACGTCTATACAATCACAGTTGGTTTTACTAACAACTACATTCCAGTTTATACAACAGTTAATACAGAGTGGATCATAGATTTAAAGGTAAAGATAAAACTTGAAAACTAGAAAAAATTGTAGAAACTGCCAGATCTAAGGTTAGGCAAAGTAGTTTTGACTTTTACATCAAAATCAGTTCATAATGTAAGCCAGTAATTGGGCACCATCAAAACAAAAAACAAAAATCGTGCAAATCATATAGCTGAGAAGAGGCTCATTTCTCATATAAAAGCAAAAGTGTAGTCCTAGCTGTCCTGGAACTAACTCTGTAGACTAGGCTGGACTTGAACTCAGAGATTCATCTGCTTCTGCCTCCCCAGTGCCAGGACTAAAGGCGTGCACTACCATCTCCTGGCTGCAAGCCTCACTTTAAAGAAACCTGGGCGTTCGGGGTGTCATCCCGAGAGTCAGCAAGAGGGAAAAGTAGGAAGTACTGGAGTTGAGAAGGTTCGTCAAGCATGGCGGCTGAGCTCATAGGTGTGTGGCAGGGGCCTGGCTGAGCAGGCAGAAGTGCTTCCTGCCAACCCTGACAGAGTTCAATCTCCAGGACCCACATGGTGGAAGGAGGGTCAACTGACTCCTTCATGTTGCCCCTTGACCCTTTTAATCCTCAAAATAAATGAAAATCTTCTGTTTTTTCAAGCACACAGGAGTTCCAATGCAAATGAGGTTACAGCCAGAGCCAGGCAATAAGCCAAGCTCCACTTCACCCCAACCCTTACTCACACTTGGGTGAATTTCTGTTGTTTTTACAAGTCTAGGAAGAGACCTCAGACCTCCAGGCACGCTTCTGCTACACTGCAGGCCGCCCAGGCGAACCTCCTCGGGGCAAACCACACACTGTTGGAAACATCATCACGGATATGTAGCAAACGCCTGCTGCACAGCACTGAGCAAGCCAGTCATGCTAAAACGCTATGCAGGCCAGGCATGGTGGTGCATGCCTTTAATACCAGTACTGTTGATCTTGAGTTCAAGGCCAGGGCTACATGGCAAGTTCCAGGTCAGCCAGGGCTATGCAGGGAGACCCCGACTGAAGGAATAAAGTGCTACAGATGGTCCACTTTTTATCTGCTGAAACCTTGGCCTAAAGAACAGATATCACATGACCAAAATCGCTGCCAAAGTCAAACCACTTGTGCCTGACATCAGGGTTTAAAATGTCTTTGTTTCTGTTATTGCCAGTTTTTATAGTATAGGCGAACTTTTGATAAATTGTGAAATGTCCATTTTTAGTATCTTCTGACCTTAGGTGAATAAACTCTTGCAGACTTAGTCTGAGCAGAGGTTAAGTTTATACTTACCGTGTACTTTCCAAAGCCACAGAGAAACCCTGTCTTGAAACTGCCCCCCCCAAAAAGATATAAAAATGCAAGCAAAACACCCATGCACACAAAAATAAATAAGGACTCCCCCATCTGTGGAGACACAAAAGAGCGGGCTGAGGGTGACAAGGACCCATGGAATTCTCTGTAGCAGGAAGGGGCAGGGAAGGAAAAGGCCGAGGCTTGAATGAAAACTGGAGCAAAAGTCTCCCCTGTAGGGGACTTTGCCAAGTTCTTTGCTAGATACTCCCGTGAGCACGGCTCTACTTTATAGGAACACACAGCGACTCTTGCGTGACAATGCGCCTTCAAAATACATTCCTGTGGGACAGGGGAGCACACACTTGGTGTCTGTGTATTGGGTGTTCCATACACATTTTTATTTTATTTTTTTGAGGCAGGGTTTCTCTGTGTAACAGTCCTGGCTGTCCTGGAACACCCTTTGTAGACCAGGCTGAACTCAAGAGATCCCCCTGCCTCTGCCTCCCAGGTGCTGGAATTAAAGATATGTGCCACCACCACCTGGCTGATTACACATACATTTGTCAAACTTCTCCCAAGGCAAGACAGTTCCTGCTTCATTTATACTTGGGGAAACGAAAGTTGCCTGAAATGATAAAGTTGATGAGTGACAGCTCAAACCTGATCCTGTCTGCCCGTCTTCCTACACAGTTAGCTGTTTCTCACAGGGATGCAGTGTACCTGCTCGAGGTCTATTTGAACTCCAGGGTTCTCCCTTGATCCTTTTCCACATTGCCTTCCCCACTGTCCTTCACGTGGGAAAGTTTCTAGACAGAAAGACCCACAGCTGGTTGTATAATTTTTTTGTTATAAAACGTTTAATGTTAACCTACAATACAATGTAAACCTTTATGAAAAAATTTGAAGTACACTAGATTTCTTCAGGAAATTAACTACTCAGGTGCAGTACAGGCTGGGACCCTGCATCTTTTGTGGATGGACTTTCCGTTTTGCTGCGTTTTTCTCAAGTCAAAACCTCCCCCAGACAAACAGAAAACCCAACCAGCTGTAAGGTGGAGGCCCCTGTTCAGCACCAGGCGACACCCTCTGATTTTGTGTTTTGGGGGCTACTGTTCCTTCTCAGTCAGTTTCTGAAACTCTTTTGTTGGCCTTGGCACCATTAGCAACTTTCATAAGAGCTGATCAGTTGGAGATTTTTAGTTTTTAAAAATTCTCCTTCTCCTGCCATCTCTTCTCTGTTATCTCATGGTGGAAGCAGGCAAGCAAGGAGAAAAAATAAAAACAAACCTATTTGCTGCAGACAACTCTGCCGAGGAAGACCAGCTAGGACCCACTGAAGCTGCAAAACTCCAACTCACTCACGCATTGTTGCTTAGTCATCCTCACGGTCATTCCGCTGAGGCTACATCCGTGGGGAACAAGGGACAGAACTTGTATCACTCATGACTTGCCCAGAAGCAATTTCAACATAAGCAAAGGCTTGCAGGTCTCTCCAAGCTCACAGGTCTTAGGGAGGCACAGACTGTAGTGGCATGAACGACATGTCAAGGTCATATTTCACCTAGGAAGGGAGAAATGGCACCCAGATAACAGAACTAGCGGCAGCAAGGAAATGGAACCATTACCCAGCTCCCAGAGAACCTGGTGTGGTGATGCACATCCATGATCCCACCACAGGAGAGTGGGAAGCAAGAGGGTAGGAGTTCAAGGCCAGCCTTGGGTATGTAGAGTTTGAGGCCAGTCTGGGCCACCAAAGCTCAGAGAAAAACTCAGGAGAAGGGGGAGACAAGAGTCAGAGAGGTATTAGGTACTGTCTGACATCTAGTATCTTTTTGTAGTTATCAAAAGGCAGGAAGCATAAAATGTACACGTTACAGAATGAGATTAAGAGGGAAAATCAGAACTTCCTCAAGCAGGTGTGAGCAAGAGACTTCCACAGGACAGCTGCCTGTGTGCTAAGGAGAGGGGGAGAGAGAGACAGAGAGAGGGAGGGACAGATGGACGCACAGACAGACAGACACTACACACTGGGAGGCAGGCTCCAAGCCGAAAAGCCCCCTGCACAGCTGTCACTGAGATAAGCCTTCATCTCAAGTCATCCAGTCCCATCACTACAGTTTTGGCACTAGGTGTGGCTTCCACCTGCCCTGGCAGCCAGCCCGCAGAGCTAACATTGCCTAAGGTAGAATGTAGAGCTCTGTGCGAAGGCCACAGAACATTTTCAGGTTTTCCAAAGGACTCCACGAGCCAGTCTCACCACACTCTCTAACAGAGCAATGGCATGTTACTGTCAGAAGTGCTGTAGTTACAAACTGCTTTCTCTTGACAGTATGCTAATGATTACAGAAACTTCAAAGGGCTACAGTGTCAAGCGTGTACCGGTCTAGCTAGTCCACACGTCGGAATACTTGTCAGTACACACTGGTGTGTGTTAATGCATGGCTTGACCATGTATCCACCATAAACTCAACCACAGATGAGACACGTAAAAGGAAAAAGCCCCTGTTGCTTCACCATGGCGAAAGAGGAAGGCTAAAAGCTGCCTCTTCAGAAAGTGAAAGGTGCCTTCCAACAACTTCCACAGGCTGGGGTCCCATTTCCCCTTTCTTTGAGAGGGTCTCACCACGTAGCTCTGGCTGGCCTGGAAACTCAAGAGGTCTGCCTGCCTCTGCCTCCCAGTGCTGGGGCCCAGTTGTGCACCACCACACCTGCCACGGCTCTACCCTTAAAGCGTCACTATCACCCTGCACTCAGCAGGACTGGTCCCACTAGTCCTCTGGAAAGGCACTGGGCTTGGCAAGTTAGGAAAGCTGGGTAGACCAGCGTGTGCAGGGGCCACCGGACCCCTTCACCACCACCTGGTACAGATGGCAAGGAAAAGCTGTAGTTGTGTGTAAAGGTAAGCACACCCCACACAGGCGTAACCCGTACACACACAGCCTTGGTGGAGCACAGACCCAGAATTCCTCTTATCGCTCCAAATGGAGTACACAAGTAGCAGAACTGGACCAAGACAAATGACCTCTCTGGGAATAGGAGAGGAGCAATGGCAGAAATAAGCGCAAATTAGCCCAGGGCACCTTTATTACACTATCTTGGGCTAAGGAGCCCAGGGCATTGGCTCTTTATCAAATAAATTTAAGGAAAAAAAAAATACACCTAAGTCAGCCTCATTCCTTTGGTCGTTATCATTACAAAACAAACAGAAACAAAGTTATTCGTAAACTGAGCAGTCTGTTCCATCCTGGCTTCCACTCTTCCTCAGGAGATGCTGCTGTAGCTGGTTGGTGGAGGTTTTCATCTGTATTTTCTACAAAAGCAAGAATGAATGCGAGACAGAGGGAATGTCTCCTTCCCCACTAGGGACAGACGGGTCAGGTGAAGTCTCTTCCTGGAAGGTTGTGTAGAGGCTGGGGAAGGCGAGTCTGCCGCGCAGGCTGGTTCACTGCTGACCCTGCACACGCATGGTGTGGTTGTGACTCTCGCAGGCAGCATGGTTTCTGATCCTTCCTCAGGATGCAGCAGTTTTCTTAAAAAAAATATTGTATTATAATAATAATATGAATTTATCTCTTGTTCTCTTTTTGTTTTTCCATTTCTTTTAGGGGTTGGGGCGGGAGGAAAGAGGCAGAAGAGTGTCATTCGTCTGTCAGGTCCTGAACAAAGAGGACCTCTGTGTGGCTGAGTCCCGCCTCCTGCAGTGTCGGGGGAGTGGGCCATTCCTCTGAAGGGACACAGGGCAGGACCCGTCTTGGGAAATTGGCTTCAATCTGAAACTTCTCAGGGCTTTCCTTCAAGGAGAATAAGAAGTCATGGATGACCTGTAGATGCCACACAGAAAACAATGCAGTGAGGAGACACACTGTGAAGTCCGATGTCCCCAACCTTCCCCAGGATGACCCAGTATACAGTAGTCATATTAAAGGAATCCTACTGCAAGTATGTTTAGTTCCCTGGAAAAATATTGTGGTTTCTCTTTTTGAGAATTCACAAGGAGCCAGGCAGTGGTGGTGCACACCTTTAATCCCAGCAGAGGCAGGCGGATCTCTGGGTCAGCCTGGTCTACAGAGCAAGTTCCAGGACAGTCACGACTATGTAGAGATCCTATCTCCAAAAAACTGCACAAAAGCCCATCACTAGCCCTCTGAATTATGTTTTTTTCTTTGAGAATCTGTCAGTAGGTAAAACTAAACAATTAACAAAAAAATTTTTGAACAATTTAACTTTATGTGCATAGCGTGAAGTTGTCAGATCACCTGGAACTGGAGTTACAGACAGTTATGAGCTGCTATGTGGGTGCTGGGAATTGAACCCAGGTCCTCTGGAAGAACATCTAGTCCTCTTAACCACTGAGCCATCTCTCCAGCCCCACAATTTTAAACTTTATTTATTGCCTGCCTGCCTGCCTACCTGATAGTCTCACAACGTAGACCAGGCTAGCCTTAAACTCAGAGATCAACCTGCCTCTTCTGCTTCTCCCAGGGCTGAGAACAAAGGCATGCACCAGTATAAGGCAATTACACCCACCAAAGTAAACAATCTGTACTCAGAAGTAACCATAGTTACCAAGAAACCAGAAGGGTAATGTACAGAATATTTCCCTTAGGGGTTGCCTTAAGTGGTCTGCCAACCTGGTGTCCCATTACCCCAGAAGACATTAGTTACTTTGTTATACCTTTTCCAAAAGATAATTTACTTATTTGTGTGTGTGTGTTTGTGTGCACACGCACGCACATTGGTGTTTTGCTTGCATGTGAGGGCAGTGAATACTGGAGTTACAGACAGCTGTGAGCTGGAAATTGAACCCGGGTCCTCTAGAAGAGCAGTCAGTGCTCTTAACCACTGAGCCATGTCGTCTCCAGCCCCTTGATACACTTTCAGATGACCTCGAAAACAGAGGTAACTGATATATTATACAAATTTATACACTCATCCTTCAATACCTTGGGGTATTGATACAGTTTCAGGATCACTCCCCCAAGCCAAAATCCTCAGACATTCAGATATAACTAAAGCATTATTCTGTATCCTTTGAAAAAATTTTTTTTGGTTTCTCGAGACAGGGTTTCTCTGTATTGTTTTGGAGGCTGGCCTCGAACACACAGAGATCCGCCTGCCTCTGCCTCCCGAATGCTGGGATTAAAGTAATGCACCACCAACGACGGCTCCTTTGAATTCTTTAAAGTACTTATACATAATGAACTGACAAAATTATACACATCACTGTTTTGTTTTTTGTTTTCTTTGTTTTTGTTTTTTTGGTTTTTCAAAACAGATTTTCTCTGTGTAGCCCTTGCTGTCCTTCCTGGAATTCACTTTGTAGACCAGGCTGGTCTCAAACTCAGAGATCCAACTGGCCTCTGCCTCCAGAGTGCTGGCACTAATCACATGAAATGAGGGCATCACATGGAGCTGGGCAGTGGTGGGGCACACCGTTAGTGCCAGCACTAACCCACTCAAACCGGTTTTCTTTTTCTGTATAAACTGATACAGTGTAGAATTGTATAGTCTTGTCCTTTGAGTCTCCCTTAGCCTGGAAGCACCCCTCAGTTACTCTGTGGAGTGAGTAAGGCAGGGCATCTCTGGCAGAAACCTCATGAGGTAAAGGGCGCTCCATTCAGTGCACCCACTCAGGCGGTTTCCCCACCACAGGCATTCTCTAACTGGTGGTGTTTCTGAGACTATAAAGGCATGTGGTTTTTCGGTCTTTTAAATTTGTTTACATTAATACAGGCTCCTCACTTCCTATGTTAGCCAACAGGCAATATGTTATGCCAACAGTTAATGTTCACACTATCCTAGATGGAGTCAAGTTGAAATGGCTGGCTTCTGTGTCCTGTTCACGTGAGAGCATCCCTCTCTGAACAATGCCTTGCTCTCTGCACAAGTTGTCCTAGGTTTACTAGGCTAATGTTTTCTTTCTTCTGATCCAGCCCCAGAATCAGCCATTTCCAAGGATGGCATATTAAAAAACAAAACAAAACAAAACACAAAAAACCCTGTGGGTTTCTTTGTGTAGCCCTGGCTGTCCTGGAACACACTCTATAGACCAGGCTGGACTTGAACTCAGAGATCCACCTGCCTGTCTCCCGAATACTGGGATCAAAGGCGTAAGTCCCCAACCCCCCAGCTTATTTTAAACTGTCACTGCTCATACTACTTTTTTTTTTTTTACTTTTGATTGTTGGGGGGTGATGTGACATACACTTGCTATAATACATATGTGGACATCAGAAGTTCTCAGGAGTTCATTGTATCTTTCTACCGTGTGGGTCCCTGGGAATGAAAGTCATCAGGCTTGGTGGCAAACACCTTCAGGCACTAAGCTCTGGCACTGGCCCTTTTTAGTTTTGAGTCTGATGTAGCCCAGGCTGGAGGTCATCAACACCTCAAGTGAGTGCTGAGAATCAAACTAAGGTCCTCTGGGCCAGCAGCAAGTGTTTAAATAACTTATAATAACTTCCTGAACACCCGTAGCATCTGGGGATGGTTTCCACTGTGTCTTGTCCCCCCCCCCCTCCGTCAAGACAGGGTCTCAGATCTCTGAGTTCAAGGCCAGCCTGGTCTATAAAGTGAGTTTCAGGACAGTCAAGCCTACAAAGAGAGACCTTGCTCAAAAAACCAAAACAAACAAATACACATATACATTAAGTGCATAAATCTAATTAAAAACAAAAATCACGGGCTGGGGACGTAGCTCAACATTGGAATGCTTGCCTAGCATCTGGGAGACCCTTAATTCCATCCCGGCACTAAAAAAATAAAACCCAAAAACTGAGAGGTGAATAGTGCTCACCTCTCAATACAAAGAAGCACTAAGTGGAGCTGTCACCAGCCTCTCCCAAGCCAGCGCCTCCCTCTCACCCTGCGCTTGTCTTTCAGGCTCCGCTCTGTCCTGACCACTTGTGTTTCTGGTTCAGAACATGATGCAGTTCCAGCTCAAAGTCAAAGGGGTGGGGAGGAGCCGCAGCAAGGGCTCGGCAGGGAAAGGTACTTTCTGTCAAGCCAGAGGGTCCACCCGCGGAGCCCACAGAGGAAGGAGACTGGACCCCCGCTCTCACACACACCTACAGCCTAAACTGCCCACACCATCTGGCTTAGGTGACCCTTACTGTTAGAGACTGTGAAAAATGGAATCGTCTCTCTACTCTGGAATCATTGGGTAACTTGAAAATGATCTTGACGCTTTCGGGGTCATCTGGGGATGGCTCAGGAGGCAGGCACTCCAACTTTCTTTCCTTTTCCTCCTGTAAGTTCTAGAGAGACAAAAAACAAAGAAAGGTTAAGATATGGCTCAAATAGGGAAAAAAGAAACCAGGAGTACAATGGCCATGTAGTTTATTGTTCATCAGGAAGAAAACTAATGAACAATTACTGTAGGGCAACTCTCCTGGGGGCCAGCAGAATAGCTCAGCAGGTAAAGGTGCTTGGGCCCTGCAAGTACAAGCCTGAAGACAGACCCGAGTCCCATCCTCAGAAACCATGTTGAGGGCGGAAGGAGACAATGACTCCCCAGAGTCATCGTCTGACCTCCACAGAAGCACTGTGACAGTGTGCCAGCACCCACGTTATCACATTACACGTAACAGATACAATCACACTGACTGTTTCACTGAGTAGGGTCTCATTATGTAGCCCTGGCTGGCCTAGACTTGGATATTTAGATCAGGCTGGCCTCAAACTCACAAGAGACCCATCTGCCTCTTCTTTCCCAGTGCCAGGACTGAAGTTGTGTGCCTCCGCACCTGGCAGGAAAAAGTGAGGAAAACTACCCACCCCTAGAAGCCCACCTGGCAAGAGCGAGGAGCGACTCCACTGAACTACCTACCGGGCATTTGGAGGGAAAAGGACCCTGGCTGTAAGAAAGCAGCAATACACAGTGAGACAGCCCTGTGGGCGAAATGCCAGCCTGCTAACACCGACACCAAGAACAAATACAGGGAGAAACAAGTAACTCACAATCCCAACACACGGCCTCCACACACACGGCCTCCACACACACGGCCTCCACACACGGCCTCCACACACACGGCCTCCACACACACACACGGCCTCCACACATGGCCTTCACACACGGCCTTGGTGGCTCACCTGCCGCCTCTTCTCCTCGGCTAGCTTCTGCTGCTGCACCTCCTCCTCCTTTCGGCGTCTCCTCTCCCGCTCCTCTTTCTTCTTCCTTTCTTTCTCCTGGTCTGCCCTCAGAGAAGCCAGGTAGGCCTCATCCTGCTGCTGTCTCAGCACTTGGGTCTGGTTCCTTTCTTCCCTGCAGATCAAAAACACACCAAACAAAACCCTCGTTTCACAAAGTGGTCTCTCCCTCCTCCCTGTCACTCTTATCTCTCTGGTGACGGCATCCAGGGCCATCCGAGTGCTAGGCAAGGACATTTCTTGGCTGTTCCCCCCACTTCCCTTCAAGGTTGGCCCCTAGCTGGAGATCCTCCTGCTACTGCCTTTCAAGTACTGAGATTAGAGACATGCCCACCATGCCCAGCTCCTAGTTTTATTTTATAAAAAAAGAAATTTCTTCTGAGACAGTGCTGGTTGCTACTATTTGTCAACTCGACTCAAGCTAGAGTTATCTGAGAGGAGAGAAACACAACAGAGAATGCCTGGCTTACAGGCAAGCCTGTAGGGGCATTTCTTTCTTTCTTTCTTTCTTTCTTTCTTTCTTTCTTTCCTTCCTTCCTTCCTTCCTTCCTTCCTTCCTTCCTTCCTTCCTTCCTTCCTTCCTTCCTTCCTTCCTTCCCTCCCTCCTTTTTTGTTTTCAAGGCAGGGTTTCTCTGTGTAGCTTTGGAGGCTGTCCTGGAACTTACTCTGCAGACCAGGCTGGCCTAAAACTCACAGAGATCCGCCTGCCTCTGCCTCCCAAGTGCTGGCATTAAAGACTACATCACCACCACCCAGTATTGGGGAGGGAGAGCATTTTCTTAATTAGTGATTGAGATAGAGGGCTCAGTTCATTATGGGCAGGGCTACCCCTGGGTTAGCAGTTCTGGGTTCTATAAGAGAGCAGGCTCAGCAAGCAGAGAGACAGCAGTCGTCCACGGCCTCTGCATCAGCTCCCTGCCTGTTTTGGGTTCCTGCCCTGACTTCATTGTGTGAACTGTGATGTGGAACTATAAGCAGAATAAACCCTTTCCTCCCCAACGTGCTTTTAGTCATGGTGTTCATCACAGCAACGGAAACCCTGGCTAAGACACAGGGTCTTATATATCTCTGGGTGGTCTTGAAGCCTACTATGTATTCAAGGATGACCTTGAACTCCTGATCCTTTTCTCAAGTGTTAGGATTCCAGGCAGGATCAAACTCGGGGTTGGTATACCAGGGAAATGCTCTACTAACTCAGCTACATTCCCAGTCTACGTTCTCTTACACTGAAGATTTGGTAGCAAGGTAAAAATGGTGATCCATGAGAGTTGGAGAGATGGCTCAGAGGTTAAGAGCACTGGCTGCTCTTCCAGAGGTCCTGAGTTCAATTCCCAGCAACCACATAGTGGCTCACAACCATCTGTAATGAGACCAGGTGCCCTCTTCTGGCATGCAGGCAGGCATACAGACAGAACACTGCACACAAAATAAATAAATACAACTTAGAATTAAAAAATAAATTAGTTGATCCACAAAGGCATTTATTTCATTTCAAAAGCAGCACCGAGCAGGGTCTGAAACGAGCCCTATTTTTCTCAGTGGCAGGCTTTATGTGGGATTTGGTCAGGGTCAGAAATCTGGTGTCAAAGACTTTGTACCAAGTGTTTTACCTGCTGAGCTACCTCGCTGGCTCCCCACTTCCTATCTGACAATTTCATGGCTTTACATAATAAACTTTATTCACTTCAACTCCACTCCCGTCTCGTCCCTTCTCCACAAGTCCTCCGACTCTGTCCTGATGTGTGTGGCCACCGAGTCCAGTGTCTTGCCAGAGGGCAGCTGGGAGGCTATTTACAGCACGCCAGCTGGTCAGTGCCACCCTCTCCAGCAGCCATGACTGCCATCAGCCCTCAGGCCTGATCCTGGGCGGGTCCTGTGCTGACAACAGCACAGCTGCAGGAGAGGAGCAGTGCGGTGGCCGCGCTGTGTCCAGATGCCCCCTCTCCGTGCTGTGGCCTTTGCTTTCTTTCTGCTCCTACGTCTCTGTATTCCCTGAGCCTTGAAGGGCACGGTCACAGCTGTTACACCTAGAGCCAACCGCTTCACAGCACCTAGTCTCCACACTGTGGCCAGCTAGAGGCTTCTGCAAGTTTCCTGTGAGGATGCCACAGCATAAATTCGGGAGTCACGGACACCTTATGTGAGTCAGTGCTTTCCTTCTACCACGGGGGTCCTGAGGATTCAGGCTCAAAAACAAGTGTCATCTTGCTGGCCCTCAATCTTTGAAAAAAGAAAAGATTTACTCTCACTTTTTAAATTGTGTGTGTTGACCAGGTAATGGTGGCACACATCTTTAATTCCAGCACTTAGGAGCCAGAGGCAGGCGGATCTCTGTGAGTTCTAGGACAGCCTGGTCTACAGAGCGAGTTCTAGGGCAGCCAGGACTCCACAAAGAAATTCTGTCTCCAAAAAAAAAAAAAAAAAAGAATAAGTGTGTGAGAGACAATGTATACACAAGTGTCCTTGAAGGAGTTGGATTTTCCAGAGCTGCAGTTATGAGCTGCCTAACGTAAGTGATAGAAATTGAACTGAGTCCTCTGTAAGAGAGGTAACCCCCTGAGCCATCTCTCCGGCTCCTCTACCTTCTTCTTCTTCTTCTTTTTTTTCCCCCAGACAGGGTTTGTTGTGAAGCCCTGGCTGTTTTGGAACTCACTCTGTAGACCAGGCTGACTTTGAACTCACAGAGATCCGCCTGCCTTTGCCTCCCGAGTGCTGGGATTAAAGGCGTGTGCCACCACTGCCTGGCTCTACTTGATTTCTTACGACAAAGTCTCTCAAAGGAACCTGAAGCTTGCTCGCTGCTAGACTGACGGACCTGCAAAGCTCAAGGATCCTCCCTTTTGTGTCCCCTCGCTCGTGCAGCTGTACCTAGCTTTGCCTGTGAGTGCTGGCACTCTGACCTTATACCCTAGCGCTTGCAGAGAAAGCACTGTAAGACAGTCATTTCCTCAGTGCCTTGTGATGGCTGTTTATGCTTTCAGCATGCTCACACAATGGAGTCTGCACTAGACCCTGGAAGGACACAATTTAAACAACTTTCTGAGAACTGAAACAAGTGAAGCCAGTGCTTCCCAGGTTTGCTGAACTGCTTGAGTAAATTAACCAAAGTGCAAGCCAGCTATGGGAGCTCCATGGGTGGCTTTAAAACACAATCAAAACAGCGCAGGGCCACAGTTGGCATCTGAAGGGAAGGCGTGAAAGGTGACAGCCTGGGGCTTCAGCTGTCAACAAGAGGTCAGAGGTGAACTGATTAAGCATACACCTACCTGTCCACTGCTGTAGAATTAACTGCTTGTTTGGACTGTGGGTGAAACCACTTACATATCTGGTACCAAAAGTGATCTGTTCTGAGCATGGCAAGATAAGCGGACCTTTTGTCTGGTTTTCTACTATTATCCTCAGATAGAGGCATGCACAAGTGTCTACAAAATTAAAACTACCCTAGAATTTCTTTGACTTTCCCATTTAAATTTTTCTATAATTTGGGGAGGAGTTATAACCATGTTGTCCTTTTCCCATCAAATTCTCCTTACAATGTTCAGATTCTAGGCTATTTTTCAACATGAAGCTAGGCTTTTAAAGTGCCTAAGACAAGGGAAGGAAGTTTGTGGAGCCCCAAGTCAGCCCTTCAAACACATGTCTCTTTTTAGGATGGAACTCCCTGGTACCTTTCTAGGCGTTCTGACACCAGGTAAGTCTGGTTTGCATCCATAATAAATGTCAGCTGGTTGATGAGGTCATCGGGTTGAATGAGGCCTTCCAGCCGTCCCACCACAGTCATGCGGCGATCCTTCAACATAATCATAGCCAGGAACGGATAGGTGTTCTCTCGTAAAGCCTGTGAGACTGTCAGAGAGACCCAAGAGACCCGGATAAGACTCAAGGACGAAACACATCAACCCCAGACATGGCATACTGACTGACAGAATGCTTTAATCGTGGCTGGGAAAAAACAGGAAGGTGCCATTTCTTCTCTGCCTATTTTTTTTTCTACTGGTTTCTTATTTTTTTTAATAACAACTGCTGGAAATACATGTAAAGACTTGTTTCTTTTTCATGTATATGGGTGTTTTGTCTCCATGTATTTATGTGCATCACATGCAGGAGTGGTGCCTGCAAAGGCCAGAAGAGGGCATCAGATTCCCTGGAACTGGAGTTACAGACGGTTGTGAGTTGCCGTGTGGGTGCTGGGAATAGAACCCAGGTCCTCTGGGAAAGCAGCAGTGCTCTTACCTGCTGAGCTGTCTCTCTAGCCCTCTACTGTTTTCCCCCGACAGGTGTATGCAGAGGTCAGAGGACAGCTCTCTGGAATTGGTTCTCTCCTCCCACCATGCAGGATGAACAAACTCATATTGTCAAACTTGGTGGAAAGTGCCTTGTGCAACTGAGTCATCTCTTTAGCCCCTACCTGGTTTCTTCTTCATCTCTTCTGTGACGTTTGCATTCAGAACTGAGGTGAATGATTAGAATAGGACAAGCCTTTTTGTTTTGTTTTGTTTTTTACGAGACAGGGTTTCTCTGTATTGTTTTGGAGGCTGTCGGTCCAGCCCAGCCTTGAACTCACAGAGATCTGCCAGCCTCTGCCTCCCGAGTGCTGGGATTAAAGGCGTGCGCCACCACCACCCAACTAGGACAAGCCTTTTGATGAGTCATTATCGTCATGCTAGTAAGGTGGCAAAGAAAGGGCCTTAAAGCCTATCAGTCTCGATCATGCTTCAAAACTGTATGCTCTTCGATCTGTCTTAATGTTAGTCTCTGAGATTTCTTCATGAAATCAAAGAACAATACAACCTTCATCTCTCAGGACTATTGACAAAATAAATGATATAAATAAAAACTACAACTAGCATTATGTCAACCACAGAACAACCACCCAAGAAATGGCAGGCATATTTTCCAGTCCCCCAAGGATATTCCGGTACGCTCAACGAAGCAGAAGAAACACCACTCACCTCTGTAGCCCTCAGGTTTGTTTGTAGAACAAGCCCAAAAGAGCATCCTGCTGTTTATCAGCGCAATGACTTCAGGTGCACACAGGGTGTTGCTATGGGACAGGATGAAAACAAGGTGAGAACAACTGACAAATGTAAACCCAAAAAAAGGTCAAAAAGAAAGTGATTCATCTACTTACCGACAGAACTCATCTGAGTCCTGGTGGTCATCTCCATGAAGATACACCAAAAGAAATCGCAGTTCTCGCTTGGCATCGTTGAGCGCCTGCGAGAGACAGAAGACCACTACTCAATATTAAGATCCTGAACTTCTATTGAGGTCAAGGGTCCAAATGCATCTAACTATGTGTTAATCAACAACAGTGACCAGAAAGGTGGGGAGGGAAGGAAATAAGGGGGGAAAGGAAAGCAAGAAATTAAGTACTTCTCAGGCTTCTATCTTTACCCCCACCCCAAGCATTTTTCTCCCTATAAGGAGTCCAAGCCAACAAGCTCTAATGAAAAAGGTTTTAGTGTTGTTAGACTTTACACTGCACCAGGCACATGAGAGAAGACAGGGTAACACAAACAAGTCAGAGAAAGTCAGCTGTATTCATGGTTTAAAGATTAAAAGCAGGAGACTGTGACTATGTAAAAGCTACTTTGCAGTCATAAAGTGGTTGTTAATTAAAAAAAAAAAAAAAGCTGCAAAAATCATTTGGATCCAGCAGGAAGGCAAGCAAGCATGAAGGACCAGGCACCCAAAGGCTTTCTAAAGAAGACCTAAGACAAAGCAAGTGTCCACGGGCCTTGTGTCACACATGGTGTACTCCTGAGTAAGTACACTCCTGAGTAACCCCCATTCTAATTCGCACGCCCTCAATGGCTAGTGGTAGTCTACCCTCAAGATCATACAAGAAGTGCTCCTCTCCCTCATCCTGTCCTCTGCAGCCTGAAGCAGGGGTCTAAACTCTGTTTAGCAGGTGTGTGTAATGTTCAGTGAGTTGGATAGCAGCAACCACAAAGAAGACCAACTGTGAGAAAAAGCAGGTGTAGGGAACAAAGCAGACAAGGTGAACGCTGCCTTCTCCCACTAAGAATCAGAAACCCTGGAAACTCCTGAGCAGAATCACCTTTTAACTACGTCCAAGTGTTGAGTCTTTATTTTTCTCTGACAAACTATATATGCCTATCACCCAGTTCTCCTCCCTTAAAGGTGACAGCTGAAAGGGCTGAGGCTTAGTCTGAGTGAAAGGAGCCACCTTAAGCCTATGGCCTAAATTCTAGTAAATTCTATAAAGGATAAAAAAATAAATTCAGGCTTTGCCTTCTAGGTGTGTACAGTCTGATAACAGCAAAGATGGGAACACAAATCACTATAAGGAGGAATGTACATTGCTATAAATTTAAAATAGAAGGATGGAAAACAAAAGGGCAGGCCAGTACTTTAGAAAGCAATGTAGGGCAAGACAGGGAACAAATGGGATGGTTAGGAGGACAGCATGAACTGGACTGAAGGACAGGCAAGATGCCATTAGTCACAATGTTAGAAGGACATTCCAGGTGACAGGACAGGGATAAGCAAGGCACTGAGGTAGGGAAGTGTTCAGGGAAGGGTGTGGTTGGAACCTAGGGTGTGAGGAAACAAGTTATGCAAAAAGACATCAAAAGAAGATTGGGTTAGATCAAAGAGGGCCTAGAAGAAAGGTTTGGTGTGTCTTTAAAGAATGTCAGAGTGTCTCCTGTGACCGACAAAGAGCTGTCCAAGTCTCCTTCTGAGTGTGAAGAGCAACACCACCAGAGCTAAACTACACTGCCCTTTGAGGACAGAATCTTATGGTTGAGTTGGCATCTATTTGGTTTGTGGCACTGACCTGGCTGTACGTTCCCTGGTAGAAGACAGGGTGTGCCCTCCCATATTTCTCTTCAAAAGAGTGCATAAATGAAACAATGTCCCCAACAGGGTCAGTGACCCGGCTGCGAGGGTCAGGCCGTATAAAACGAAGAGCAAACCTGGGGAGGAAGGAATAAATATCACATGAATTGGCTTCCTGTAGTGCATATGGAGTGGGCCAGTTTGTGCAGACTTTTACAGCTGAGCCACAGGCGAGGCAGCAAAGGGAAGTGAATGAGGGAGTGGGCCACCAGACCTGAGGGTACAGCCTGGCTCAAAAGCCACGAAGCCGCCAGGTGTTCCACGCTCTGCTCAAGAATGCACACCACTAGGATAACAGTACCATGCTGGCCTAAACCATCCCGAGTGCTCTCTGCAGAGAAAGGGCTAGGACTGAGTAGGGAGGATCACAATCCTAGGCACTGTCTAACACAGCAGCCACTATTTATGGCTATTATAAATGTAAATGCATTAAGCTAAATACAGTTCAAAGTCAGTGCCTCAGTGACACCTGCCATGTTTCAAGTGCTCAACATATGTGGTTAGTGATTTCCACTCTGAACAACAGAGACGAAGACGGTGTCTTAATCAAAACCCCTGGCCTGGAGTAGACATCTCTTTCTGGGCCTTCCTACTTGCAGTTTCCCCTCTTTTAGTTCTTCTGGGACTTTGATGTTTTAACTCATACTCTCAAGTAACTCATCAACAGGGACTTCAAACCTGAACTTGGTCACAACTTATTTGTTCTTCAAAGGGACAGGTGACAGGTAAATTTGCTTGATGTGTTTACACCAATGACATCCATGGAAAGAGTCGTAAAACTGCCCCAGATGTGGAGCACTGGTGGCTACTTTAGATTCCAGGATGCACTCCTAACGGGCCCACACGTCTACTCCTAAAGAGCCTATCCTATCACACTGTGCCTTACCCTTTCTCTGTGCTTGGGTTTCCACACAAGGGAGTGGCTGCAGGACGAAGTGGTACAACTCACATTAAGTTGTCTGGATGACACAATTGCATTAAAATTAGTAAAACATGCCATGCAGATTTTCCAAGGAAAGCAAACATTATTCATTTACTTGAATTTTTAGCATAGGGAAAAACAACTATGCTCTGATGCTTTCTTTACCAAGTCTTGAGCCTATCTTAATACTTTAACAAATTCTCCACTTGTATGCAATGATAACATTTTCTGAGTCATCAGGCCAAATTCATCCATACAAACATTCCAAGAAAATTAAAGACAAAATGTAATTACTTCTATATATAGGGAAGTAATTACGAATGCTTCAGAAGGCTGGTACTTTCACTATTTTTCTAAAAAGATTATTTAGGTTTATCTCTTTTTAAGTGTCCAAATTCTAGGAAGGGGTAAAAGCTTTAAATCTACTGTTTCTCACTATTATATTTCCACAGCCAATGTAATTTAAGACAGATGTGTCAACTCAGTTTTCATTGTGATTTTGAAAGATTTTATGGTTCCACATGCCCATTCCTAAGTAAAACAGAGATGGGAAAACTACAAAGCAGGTAGCCACTAAGAGGTTTTTGATAGCCAGGCGGTGGTGGCACATGCCTTTAATCCCAGCACTGTGGAGGCAGAGGCAGGTGGATCTCTGAGTTCTGGACCAGCCTGGTCTACAGACAGACTTCCAGGATAGCTAGGGCTATACAGAGGAAAAAACAAACAAACAAACAAACAAACAAGAACTTTGCTACAGCAAGGATGCAATTAAACAAGAGACCAAGGGGAAACTATTGCGCAATCCCTGAACTTCTGCAGTGACTGGGTCCTTACTTCCAGCCTCTGCTACTCAGAACAGAGCAAAAGCTACCCTGAATATGGAAGGGGCGCTTTGCACACATTGTATTTCCAGCTCCACCTGCTGGCCTGAGTGTCATGCTCATTCATTCATGCTCTCTCCACCTTACCCAACTCAAACTCCTCTTGCCTCCTTCTCAGTAGAACCACAGGTGTGTGCTGTCACACCTTCCCTCTAATGAGTATCTCAGACTCACACAAAGTCTGGGCATAGCTCCAGACCATATTCTGTGCTAAGCTTGATCTGCCAGAAGTCAGGTCACAGTCATCATCTCCTAGCTCTGGACGCAGACCATGGCTTCCCATGGTGAGTTCTCTGAATGGTACATGAAGAAAGCTTGATGGTGAAGGCATAAAACAAGTGGGTGTATATGCTGGCAACCTAAGCATGGCCGAGGCAGAGGGAATGTATAAACACTGCCTAGAAAGGCGCCAACAATCTACGGCAAAGTGGGCGTTCTCAGAGCAGGGTCTGCTGGGACTTTGAGCAGTGGGCAGAGGAGAGGGTTAGGGAAAGGCTCCTGGAGTATGGAGTTAGGGACAGGAAATGGTGGTTAGAAAGGAAAGGGCACGGTGATTAACTAGGGGATGTAGCGGTAACAAACATGGTGGGAGAGGAGAAAGATCCATAAACATAGGCAGATTGGTTTGATTCTTACAAACAACAGCCAGGACTAATTTAAAGTCATTCATAACACCATCCACTATGAATCAGTTTAAAACATTTTTTCAACTATAGAAAAAGAAGAGTGCAGGAAGAATATTCAATATGGTATCAAACTGGCCAGTCAAAAACGATTGAGCATCAAGTGCACTCTATTCTAATTTCAGCGTCAAGGCCTACCCTGTGGCTAGTAGTGTATAAACACAGAGGTACATACCTAAATATATCAAGTATCGTGTAATAGGTAAACCGGAATGGAAGCATTATCAAGTAATAACCCCATCCAAGCAGCCCCTGAAATTCCAAAAACAAAGTTAGAGACCCCATTCTCTTGAATGTCCAATACTTCACAAAATGGCAGTTCACATTTCCATGCCCGCCCCACCAAGGTGACTCCTCTCTGTAACAGTGTCCTCTTCCTGCAATCTCACCCTTACATGCTACTGCTTTTAGTATTATGTCATCTAAGACTATTATTTTTCCCACAGAAGTTTTGTCTTTAATCTCCATAACATATCCATCAACTACTCATATTCATAGTCAACTTCAAGTTTCCTCCACATAATAAATATTCATTCTTTCCATCTGATATTTAAACATCAATACATGGCACATAGAAATATCATGAGATAATTATTACTTTGGACATCTGTATACAACAGTTAAGTCTATTACCAAAAGACAAATCCTTATAGCTACTAATCTTTGTAATAACACTAACTAGCCTTATCTTATTGTTGTTATATACAAACAGGGCTTACGGTCAGTGTCAACATGTCCTGTATAATCACTGGAGTGAGCTCTAAAGCTAAGTGGGGATCAGGGTCTTGATCACAAAGTAAGGCCAGTTCAAGCTAAGGAAACATGGGTCTACAGAGAACTACTCCTCAAGTTATGTATTGCTCTAAGCAGCTGGGGGTGGGGGGCAGGTATGCTGCTGTTGTTCTTTTGTTTTGAGACAGGATGTCTCTATGTAGTCCTGGCTGTCCCAGAACTCACTATATAGCCCAGGCTGGCCTGTTTCAGGCAGCTGAATGCTAGCATTCAAGCAGGTACCCTTAAACTTGGCAGATTTGTATTCATCTACTTTAGTCTTTCTTCTCTCTACCTATGGCTTTGTTTTCTGTAGTTTCAGTTACCTCAGACAACTGGGGTCTGAAAATATGAAGTGGAAAATTAATAAAACAAAACTAAACTAAATTTGTAAATTTTAAACTGCAAATTAAGTAGTGGGATAAAATAGTATACCCTGCTATTCAGTCTCACTCAGGGAGACACTCTTCATCCAGCATCCCATACATGACACCTTAATCTCTTAGTAGCCTTCCTGGTTAGCAGATATGTCAGGGTGTTGCTTGTATTCAAGAGATCCTTGTTTTTACTTTTAAAAAAAAGAAAGGCTTCTGCTAGGCATGGTGATGCATGTTTTAAATGCCTGGAGCAGCAGAGGCAGGTGGATGTCTCTGAGTTTGAGGCAGCCTGGTGCCCAGAGCAAGGTCCAGGTAGGTAGGGCCATATAGTGAGACCCTTCTCAAAACATTATCAACAGAATGGCTCCAAAGTGATAATGACGGAACCGATACGAAAAGGGAAATCACAAAATGATCCATTTAAGTGGAAAGGTTAAGTCTTAAGCCAATAAAACATATAGTGAGGTTGCCAGAATCTACAACCAATCTTTTATTCACAAAATTGTGGCAGAAATCGTTAGCTTTGCTGCTGCACCTTAAACAGCAAAAATGAGAGCAAATGCTTAATGAAGATGGAAAAATCATTTAAAAATAAGGCTTAGTAGTCCTGGGAGTTTAGGTACCTACTGAAGACCTTGCAAATGCATCCTCTAAGGAAAAAGGAGTAATTAAGCTCCACATTTATCTGGAGACATAGCTGCACTACACTGCCCTGGCTGAGACCCTCCTGCCTTAGCACTCCTTTGTTGTTTGGGTGCTTTTGCTCACTTTAATTTTATGTGTATGGGTGTTTTCCCAACATGATGTCTGTGTACTATGTGTGTGCCTGGGGCGTGTGGGGACTGGAAGAGGGCACTGGATCCCCCGGGACTGGGGGTACAGATAGTTGTGAGCTACCACGTGGGTGCTGCAACCAACCGAAGTCCTCTGAAAGAGCAGCCACGTGCTCTTGACTGCTGAGCCATCTGCGTAGCTCAGCCTTTCATCTCCCAGAGACAATGTCTCATAGATAGAGCTGGGCAGTCCTTGAACTAGAGATCCCCCCACCTCAGCCTCCCAAGGGCTAGGATTACAGGCACGCACCACCATCCAAAGTCACTTTTGAAACATTAATTACTCCATACACACATACAAAAAAAGTATGACACTGGAGTAATTTTAATTGCTCTAGGGTTGAATGAAGGGTTTAATTTTTTTTTAATTCTAGATGCATGTTCAAGGGGTGAATGTTATCACTCAAGGATAAAGAAAGATAAGCTCCATAAAGTTCTTTGGAGTTCATGATCAGTTACACATCTAATTTCCTTAAACAGACATGAGAAATCAGACTGTAAATAGAAAGCTAACACCGCCGGGCGTTGGTGGTGTACTCCTTTAATCCCAGTACTTGGGAGGCAGAGGCAGGCGGATCTCCGTGAGTTCGAGGCCAGCCTGGTATACAGAGTGAGTTCCAGGACAGCCTCCAAAACAATACAGAGAAACCCTGTCTCGGAAAACAAAAACAAAAACAAAAAAGAAAGCTAAGACCACAGGAGCCACGGAGTACAAGGACGATACCCTAGACTACAGATGTGGGTCAACAGGCCGGGTGTTGGTGGTGGCGCACGCCTTTAATCCCAGCACTTGGGAGGCAGAGGCAGGCGGATCTCTGTGAGTTTGAGCCGAGGCTGGTCCGACAGCCTCCAAAACAATACAAAGAAACCCTGTCCCTTAAAAAAAAAGAAGTGCGTCAACGGGCAGAGGTGTCCACAGCCACCTGACAACTTGAGTTTGAGCCCTGTGGCCCACACGGAAGGAGAAAACGGACTCTGCAAGTTGTTCTCTGACCTATGCGCACATACAAAAGAAATAAAATGCGATAAAACGGTGTTTATAAAAGAAAGGACGGGGGGAGGCAGAGGCAGTGAGGGAAGGGAGGGGGAGAAGGAAGGGGATGAGAAGGAGCACGTGAGCAGCGACGAGCTCTGCACACGCAGGTCGCAGTCAACTGGCGCACTCTGAGATGCCTAAAAGTTAAGTGGCCCCTCTTTACCACCAGCCCTTCAGGACCAACTTCAAAACATTGGCACAGAATCCCCAAAGATTCTAAGCACTGCTTAAAAGTAACTGATGTCTTTCCAAGGAGCAGGTGGGAGGTGGGGAGGGAGTGGGGGGAGCAAGAGGAGAGGAGGGAGGAGGAACTGGGATTGGAATGTAAAAAATAATAAGAAAAGAAAGAAAAAAAAAGTAGCTGACATCAAGTAAACTCCAGTCCCAAAGAACTTAGCAGATTTCAATTTAATGGTGGGAAGTTGCCAGGTATAGCATGTTGTTCAGGTAACAATTCCACAACAAAACGCGGAGGTAGGAAGAATGCCCACGGTTTGAGTGAGCCTATCTACACAATTAGTTCCAACTCAGCTTGGGCTATAGTGAGACGCCAACCAGTCTGGGCTATTTAGTGAGCTCCTGTCCAGCCTAGGTTACATAATGATTCCCAGTCCAGTGTGTGCTATACTGAGTCGACAGTCAGTCTGGGCTACAGAGTAAAAAATCATGTCTCCAAATAAAACAAAACACGCACGCACGGGCTGAAGAGAGAGCTCAGTGGAAAGAGCACTTCCTGCTCTTACAAAGGACCCCGGTGTGCTTCCCAGCACCCACACAGTGGCTCACAACAGCCCATCTTCAGCTCCCTGGGATGCAGTCCGCCTCCTCAGGTTTCCGTGGGCTCCTGTAGGCATGTGGGCACAGACATGTGCTCAGAAGCAGCTCTACACAACACGGCCCGAAGCAGACATTTCAAAAGCAAGCTGCTCAAAACAAGGTATAGAAAACACTCTCTCAGTGAAGAACAGAAAATAGTTCCTATAGGAATTCATTAAAAACTCCAGGGATGGGGAAACTGATGAACCCATCAGATCTTCCGAAGATCCATAGCTAAGAAGCTTACACTGTCAGCATTTCTTTGGCTCTCACACAAAGATAACAAAACCAAATGGGTGAAATCATTAAAAAGGGAGATGAGATATTCTAGCTACAAAACTTGCCCTTGGTTGTGGTCTTGAGACAACATAGCTGTAGATCCTGTGATCAGCTGTATTAACCTGTAGGGGTCGGGATGGAGGTGGATTGAAAACACTCGGTACACCCTCTTGCTCATTCAGTCTGTCCTGGACTGCAGCCTGAGAAGGAAAACAGAATGCAGAACTTCAGTGATGCTCAAATTCACCCAAGAGGAAACTATTGCTTGGTGTCTCAAAACAAGATGAACATTACATGATGGTCACTTAATGAGTGCATGCCAAGGGACCTTTATCCTGCTACGCTATGGGGCAGTGAAAACTCTCACATGGCAGAACAGGCAATTTGTCTTGAAGCCACATTTACACAGCAAGCACATTATTACTATTAGTATGTGTTATGCAGAATGGCTAAACTATAATGTGCTTTACCATCCAATCCCAGGAAAAGCAGTATTGACAGCACCTTCAGGGCTGTGCAGTGGGCAGTACTGATTACTAGTATCTGATAGATAGTCTTGGCAAAGAGAATGCAGTCTGGATATAGCTCCACAGCCCAGAAAGAGACTAACTTACAAGCCTTAGAGTCTTTTTTTTTTCCTTCATTTTTTTATTCATCTATTTATTTAAATCCCAGCCACAGCTTCCCACCCAGCCCCTGCTTCCTAGTCCCCCAACCCAACCGCATCCCCGCCCCTTCGGTCTCCATCCCAAGAGTATCAACAAAACAATAAGACTTAGATCCTTATGTGCAAAATTGAAGGAAACTTAATACTTGGAATTAATCTGGAAAAAAAATTTTTAAAGAAAGTCTTCAAAGTAGAAGGAATTTGAAGGGAGGCTCAACTTAATCTGAAAATCTGAATATTAAGGGCTTGGGATGTAGCTCAGTTGATGAATGTTTGCTTGCATGTATGAGGCGGAAACCGTTGCTTTACTCCCAGAGCTCAGGAAGTGGAGAAAGGAGGATCAAAAGTTTGTGGTCATCTTGGACTATGTAGGGAGTCTGAGTCTGGCCTTGGCTAGAGATTCTGTCTCAAAAACAGAACAAGACAAAACTTGCTCTCAAATCCTGTTCCACAACGTCTCTTAATGGTTTTAGTCTCCATCAGTATCCTTTCAAACACTATTATCAGGCTGGGCGCTGATGACGCGCGCCTTTAATCCCAGCACTTGGGAGGCAGACGCAGGCAGATCTCTGTGAGTTCGAGGCCAGCCTGGTCTACAGAGTAAGTTCCAGGACAGGTTCCAAAGCTGCAGAGAAACCCTGTCTCAAAAAACCAAGCTAAAGCCAAAAAACAAACAAAACAAAACAAAAAACTATTATCAGGAGAATGGAACAGTTTTCAGTTTGTTTCTAGTGAACTATTATGTCTGAGGGTCATTTTATAATTCATTTGAATTCACAGTTGGTGTCAGAAGAGTGGTCTTTTGGGGGGAGGCTGTGTGTCTTCTAAAATTGATAACTGAACTTAACCTTTATGGTTTGACTAATTCCAGGCAGTCAAATCACATCAGTGGGGAAAGAACAACATTTCAGGTCTGGCAAACTGGCTCACTGGGTATCTTCATTAGTTTTTTTGTCAACTTGGTTCAAGTTAGGGTCATCTGGGAAGAAGGAACCTCGACTGAGAAACTGCCTCCATGACACTGTCCTATAGGCGAGTCTGTGGTACATCTTCTCGATTAATGGTTGATACTGGTGGGCCTAACTCACTATGGGAGATGCCACCCCTGGCAGATGGTCCTGGATCATCTGGGAAAGCAGACTGAGCAAGTCATGAGAAAGCCAAGCGGCGCTCCCTCACTGCCCTTGGCCTCACTTCCCTTGGTGAGGGACTGGGATGTGACACTGAAAGCTGTGCTCATGGGATTTTTAATCACAACAACAGAAACTCTAGCCAAGGCAGTAGGTAAAAGCTGAGCCCCAGGACCTATATGGTAGAAAGTGAGACAGTTATGTAAGGAAGAAAGTCTACAAGGGTGCACACTGAAGCAGTGTGTTTCTTACTAAAAAGTGGAAGAATTTTGTGTTTAAACTTTTTCATTTTTGTTTTCGGTTTTTGAGACAGGGTTTCTCTGTGTAGCCCTGACCATCCTGGAACTCGCTCTGTAGACCAGGCTGGCCTCAAACTCACAGAGATCCGCCTGCGTCTGCCTCCCAAGTGCTGGGATTAAAGGCGTGTACCACCAATGCCAGGTTTTCTCATAGTCTCTGTACTCCTACACGTGTGTTTTAAGCACAAAGAAGCTATAATTCTTTTTTTTTGTTTTGTTTTGTTTTGGTTTTTCGAGACAGGGTTTCTCTGTGGCTTTGGAGGCTGTCCTGGAACTAGCTCTTATAGACCAGGCTGGTCTCGAACTCACAAAGATCTGCCTGTCTCTGCCTCCCAAGTGCTGGGATTAAAGGCGTGCGCCACCAACGCCCGGCAAGAAGCTATAATTCTGATATCGGGGAGAAGGGCTGTACCAGCAGAACTGAGGGCACCCATACCTCCATGTTCCAGTTATGCTGCTCCAAAGCAAGGCGACACTGCTCCATGGATTCTATGCCAGTCAGATCCTAGAAGGTGAAGCACAGGTTACTGTGGGCTGGGCTAAGGGGGTAGAGCACCTGTCTAGCTTAGCATACACACAGCCCCGGGTTCCATCTCCCACACTGCGTAAGTCAGATATGGCAGCATACGATGTGTCAGCGGCGGTGTAGGGAAAGGGTCATTGCTGGCCACAAGAGGTGCTGCAGAGACAGCTCATTTAGTAATGTGCTTGCCTTGCACATACAAGGGCCCGAGGTTAACCCTAGAAACTAAGCACGCGGGAACCATGGCGCACCAGAAAGTGAGCATAAGTGGCTTTCTAGATCCCTTTCTCACTATTTCCTTTCAGGTGTCCAATGCACAGCAAACCTAGCAGCTCATGTGCCTAACACATGCTAGGCTTTCAACACAATACAAAAGCTGCTCCACTCATAGGCCTTTCATTCAGCAAGTGCTTACTTGAGGACTTTACACAAAGGCAAGTTAAAATAGTCTTTACTGTCAAGAAGTCCTAACCACTGGCAACCACAGAGGCAGAGTGGTCTATCTCAATCAGACTGGTAAGTCAAAACAAAGTTTCTTATCTTTACTGTGTACTCTGTATCCAAGGACAAGGTGTTTAATTCTAGAATTTAGTTTCCTTTATGTACAATGTTTAATCTGGACTAGATATCCTTTCCAGACTTTTTCGTCACTTTTACTTTTTAAGCCACGTCTCAATGAACCTGAAGCACAGACTTCAAGGCCCCACTAGTGCGCCTGAATGTCTGGGGTCTGAACCTGGGTCCTCAAGCTTGTGCAGCAAGCGCCATAACCAAGTGTCAGAAATACCCCAAAACACCTAGCTTCACTGGCCTACAAAGTTGTATCTGAGGACATGATGGGGAATGGTCTTCTGTGTATATGTTTGTCTTAAACATATAAATAAAGCACTGTTGGCCAATAGGGAAGCAACATAGGTAGGACTAGGAGTCAGGAAGGTTCCGGGAAATGCAGTCAAGAGAAGAGTTGCCATGTGATCCCAGGAGGAAAGGGCACAAGTCTGGTGTGCTCAGAAAGATAAGTCCTCATAGAAATATATATTAGTAGTCATGGGTTAATACTTAAGACAGAACTAGCCAATGAGAGGGCCTGGGACATTGTAACTAATAGTCTCCCTGTGTTATTTGGGGTTGACAAGGCCCTGGGACCAGGCTGGCGGGGAAGAACGCACATTATCAGGACACCCTGGGCTATCTAACAAGAGCCACACACACACACACACACACACACACACACACACACACAAATAAAATAAGTCTTAAAATATACATATTTTCCCCTTGAGCAGAAGCAATGGCTCAATGGTTAAAGAGTTTACATGTCTCTTACAGAGAACCTCAGTTCAGTCAGTTCCCAGCACTACAAAGGTAGCAAACACTAGTAAGTAACTCTAGCTTTAGGGAGATACTGGCCTCTGTCCTCCATGGACACCTACACTCATGTGCATCAACACATAATTTAGAAAAAAATACTCTTTACAAAGGATATATATAAGCTAGGCATAGTAGTGCACACCCTTAGTTCCAGCACTCTGGAGGCAGAGGCAAGTGGAACTCACAGAGATCTGTCTACCTCTGGTTTTTGTTTTTCTGCATAGGGAGTTTCCACTAGATTCTACTGCATACATACTACTACTGAGAATCACTAACTCCAGAGCTTGAAATTCTAAATGCCAGGGCATCATAGTGAAACCCTGTCTCAAAAAAACAAAACAAAGCAAAACAAAACCATCAAAGAAACCTAAGTACTGTGTCTGAAGCTATTCTGGGCATGCAACTGAGTTAGTATAGTGTGCAGTGTCTGTCTAGTATGCAACCATATAAGAACTAGGTGGCACAGCTCGACATGATAGTGAGCACTTTTCATCCCAGCACTGAAGAGGCTGAGGCAGGTGGATCTCTGAGTTCAAGGCCAGCCTGGTCTACAGATCAAGTTCCAGGACAGCCCAGGCTATACATAGAGAAACCTATCTGGGGGACCCAAACCAAACCAAAAGCCAGTATTCTGTCTGTCTCAGACTTCTGCAAATTCAGGGCCAGTCTAGGCTTTTGGGTGAATTCCAGGCAACTTTAACTAAACTGTGAGACCAGGCCACAAATACCTTGATCACTGGGTAGGGAGGACCCTTTTGGGAGTTGAATGATCCTTTCACAAGAGTTGCCTAAGACCATCAGAAAACAGAGGGCAATTTGTAACAGCAGCAAAATTACAGTTATGAAGTATCAACAGAAATAATTGTATGGTTGGGGGTCACCACAACATGAGGAACTGTACCAAAGGGTTGCAGCCTTAGGAAGGTTGAAAACCACTATCCTTGATTGGCTTTTCAATTTTTTTCCCTACCTTATGAATATACACATTTTAAAAACTTGATAGACGGGGCTGGAGAGATGGTTCAGTGGTTAAGAGCAGTGGCTGCTCTTCCAGGGGACCCGGGGTTCAATTCCCAGCACCCACATGGCAGCTCACAAGTGTCTGTAAATCCAGTTCCAGGGGATCTGACACCCTCACACAGACATACATGTTAGAAAATTACCAGTGTGTGCAAAGCAAAAATAAATAACTTTAAAAAAAACTTGAAGACACTGCCCAAGCCAGTATGTCATCTTCATAAAGACTATTTCATTTTACATTGTCTAAAGCTGGTTTCCAGTGCAAGTCAAAAGTTACCTTATTCCCATTTAGTGCCAACATATTTCCCAAAGCCAGTGGGGAGGGGAGGGTTTTTCCTAGAACAGACCCCATTGGCTTTGAAGCCACCTGTGCTGTCACGGAAAAACATGTTTAGCTATTCTGCAACTTAAGGAAGGAGAGCTATGTTGTGGCTCCGGTTCTACAAGGCAGTCCGAGGCACGTGGCAGGCACTGCCAGGAAGCAGAGAGGATGAACACTGAGCCCACCTTCTCTTCTCCTTTATCCAGCCCAGGACCCCAGACCATGAAACTGTGCTGCTCACTCTTGGGGGGTCTTCCCACACCAGTTAGCCCAATCTAGATAACCCCTCACAGGCACACCCAGACATCTGTCTCCATGGTGATTCTGAATTCCATCAGGTTGACAGTCAAGATGAACCATCACCAAAGTAGAACAGAAACAAGGAATGTTAGACTTAATAACCTCAGAGATTTCCAGTTCCTTTCCAAGTAAATTTGTTTAAAACTCAACAGATTATAAACCTGTCTTTTAAGAAAAGATTTATTTGTGCTTTTGTGCATGTGTCTATGTATGTCATTTGTGTAAAGGACAGATGATTGCCCTGGAAAGGGGTTAAAATGGTGTTGAGCTTCCCCACATAAGTGCTAGGAACCAAATTCAGGTCCTCTGGAAGAGAAGCCTATCATTTTTGTTTTTCAAGTGATTTCTTTTTTAGTGAGTTGGGGTTTGAATCCAGGGCCTCACACAGGGTCAGTACACGCCAGCCCTGCTTGCCAGTGTAATACCTTATCATACATTAGACAATGAATAACTCAGCCCAGTGGTGGTAGTGGTGGCATTTGAGGTGGCGGCAGCTCATGCCTTTAATCTCAATACTCAGAAGGTAGAGGTAGGTAGGTCTCTGAGGTCAAGGTCAGCCTGGTCTACAGAGTGAGTTCCAGGACAGCCAGGGCTACATAGAGAAACCCTGTCTCAAAAAGAAAAAACAAAACAGAAAAGTAAGGCAATGGTGGTGCACACCTTTAATCCCAGCACTGGAGAGGCAGAAGCAGGTAGATCTCTGTGAGTTCAAGGCCAGCCTGGTCTATAGAACAAGTTCCAGGACAGTCAGGATTATAAAGAGAAACCCTGTGTCAAAAACAAAAAACAAAACAGACAAAATAAATTAATTAATTAATGATTATTATGCTACCCTGACAGCTTTTTTTTCTTCTCTCATTCTCCTTTTCTCATATAGGCAGGTGAGTGTGTAAGTGTGAGTGCATGTGAGTGTGTACGTGCGATCATGTGCATGCACGTGCACGCTTGTGGGGGGCCATAGGATGACCCTGGCTATTTTCCTCAGGAGCCGCTCAATTTATTTGTTTATATGGCTTTGGTTTTTTGAAATGGTGCATGTGGCACCACTGGCAGGCTTCTTCCTCATTTCTTACGCATCACTCTTATTAGTTTCCATAGTATCAAAAACCGTTTTGTCTATCTTCACTATGCTGACCAAATCCATGAGAAATTAGCATCATGCCATGCCCACCACAAGTTAAAAAGATCTGCATATGAAGTCAGTGAACAACAGAAGCAAATCTGCAAGTTCCTAACTGTTTGCTCCTCAGAGTAACCTTGGCCTGCATTCAGACCCACTGACATTTGCTGTCACTCGAGACAAAGCTGGGAGAAGCAGCTGCAACTGAAACAAAGGCTAACTTCATCATGACGGCTCCTTCTCCCACTCATCTCTTGCCACAAGGCAGATGTCCCAATTGTTGTCACACACCCGCTCAGGCAGTCCCATCTGAGAATGTCTTACTCCCCAACTTCTCAGACATACTCCCCTTCCATGAATTGACCTCCCTATGGTTTAGGAGCTGCATTCAGATGCAGTAATTTACATAAAAGTATAACTGATGACAGTATTAGAGAGACGGATGGATGATATTTATTGTTGGGGACCAAAATATCCCTGAATTCCAATCAGTCACAAGTACTATGCAGAGGGATATTAGAAGAGTGTGTGAACTACTTTCCTCTACCCAACCTGTTCTAACATCTATCTAGTCAAAAGTTAAAGGGATGCTGATCACTTGAAAAGTAGATACTGAATTATTATGGTTGCTGATCTAGTCCTTAGGAGAGTGTAAGTCAGGGAAGAAATCACAACAGGCTGTGTGTGTAACAATTTAACCAGGTGTCTTAAAGAACTATTTGGATATGGATTGGGAAATCAGGGTATACTCGCCTGGCTTTCCTAAGTGCTTCACTTTCCACATCTCAAATGTTTGTAATAACACACTCAGTAGACATCTAAGTGCTCTATGCTCCAATTGACTTGTTC